TTAAGACCTTTGAATTAATTATGGAGTCCATCAAACATTAAAATTTGGTATTGATCCAATAATTTCAATGAAATCACATTATTAAATCAACAAATTAAATCAAATTTTTAGGTCGAAATAACATTTCTTTTTTTTATATATGCATAGGAAATAAGTTAGTGCATTAACCCACCCGTTCGAAATAACATTTATATCTTTCCTTGTAAGAATGAACAATCGTGTTTATGCAATTAGGGATTTGTTTTTTCACTCAACAACAACATAGATATCTCTCTCTTCAGCATCTGTAAGAGATCAGTTTGAATCAATTTAGTTGGTAAGATTCAATTTGAATCAACGTAACTGTTATTTCTTTCCTAGACATACAAACAATACCAAAGTCCTTAAAAGTAGGACTAATTTTTTTTTTCTGGTTTTTTTTTTCAACGGCAAAGGTTGTGCGCGGATCAACTTAAATGTATCTCGACTAATTTTCTGTTCAATCCGGTCAAAAATAGGTCCTCCTCAATCCGATCAAAGTATGAATAATCTTAAGTTTGTGAGTAGGTCACTCTTACATGTTTGAAGACCCTTGACCCAGTTTGACCACTCTTATATATTTGAAGAACTTAGACTTGTTCCTTTGCCGGATTTTAAAACAGTCTTAGGAAGCCAGAGTAAGCGGACAAGAGTGAATAAAGAAAATATAGAAGCTGAAAGTCTGTCGACCAAAAAAATAATTTGTTCTTAGGTATAGATTTTCTTTGCCAGCTGAAAATATTGACAACGGCAAAAATATGATCAATCTTAATCCCAAAAAAAATGATAACAACTCTTTGCGTTGAAATGCGAGTACAATTACACCATGTTAGTAAGAGATTGTGAGTCTGTGAGAGATTTGTGCAAGAAATGCATAGGATTTGTTTTGGGGAAAACTTTTTTCAGAAGGAATTCCTACCAAATGCCATCGTTTTCTTGGGAGCTAAATTTTAGCCTGCAAACTAACAAAAAAAAAACGGCTCTTTTCGTCTAACAGCACCATGTGGTTGTTTTAGCCTAACAGCAAAGGAGCTGCTCCCAAGGGAAGGACTAAGGAGGGTCCATGATCAGCGTCGTGGTGTTGTTGGCATGTGGTTGGGCTGTCTGTTACAGTGTGTCCCTTTGACCAAATGTTTTTTTCTGAGCAAAGACTGTTATGTGTTGAGAGACTCTCAGTACACACACACACACACTTTGCTCTTTTTCAGAATGCGACCAACCTTACTTTGTCACTGAGCCGTTAAGGTTAATGGACACGACATGACGACTTTTTATCAGCCTTTGTTCCTCCTCTGACGTTAGCCCTCCCCTCCGTTGACTGCTTTTCCTTTTCGCACCTTGTGTTTGTCGCTTTGAGTTTGGTTTTTATTAGGGGCTTGCTAATTGCTAAGCTTTATTAAATTATTAGTTTTATAAGTAAACTGAAAAATCAAGTTGTAAAAAACTGGGTGGGTGGTGGGTGTATCGATATTGGGATCTGACGGTGATTTCGTCTCACCACCCACCTTGTCCTTGTGTTCTTCTATATATTTTCCGTCAGAATCATCAAATTTTATAGCGGTGTTAAATTATTTGAAATGAAAAAAATTTAGTAAGAATAGTATTGCTCTTGATGAAAGGTGCATGAGTTGGTGAGAATGCTTTATGGGAGTTCGCACAGAGAGAAAGACAATGTGGTGTGGTGTGGTGTAGTCTGGTCGCCCTCCTGTCTGAGTCTCTAGGTGAGATGCTTTTGTGTCCTTAGGCTTAAGCCAGTTGTTGTCTCCAAGCAACTTGTCGCTACCCCTAATCAACCTTGGCACTTTACTTTAATTTATAATCCCAAAGTAAAGTCATGGCAACCTAAACAACTCTTTGAAAGGAAGTGACCATCATGACGCTTTCCTTGTGGCTTCATCAACAACACTAAAACAACTGTTTCTGTTCTTCCTCAACTGATTTCCTTTCTTAAAAAAATCTTCGACACTCTCCATTAGGGTTCTACTTCTAACAAAGAGTGGATCCCTTTTCTCGATATACAAATATGCTAACATGGCATTGAAAGGATGTTTATTAACTCTCATCTTGCAGTCCACAACCACCGGAAACAAACTAGATTATCAAATAATTCTGTGGCTCATATGGCCAGAAAAGGTATCTTCTATGTAGTTCTACTACTGTGCTGTCACGACACTCACTCACTCATCCTACATTTCACTTCCTTCCTTCCATGCATATATACCTTAACAGGATGAATGGGTCCATAAAACCCACCCAAACATTTTGTCCGAACATGGTCTCNCTTCCTTCCATGCATATATACCTTAACAGGATGAATGGGTCCATAAAACCCACCCAGACATGGTCTCACNTTATGGAGTCCATCAAACATTAAAATTTGGTATTGATCCAATAATTTCAATGAAATCACATTATTAAATCAACAAATTAAATCAAATTTTTAGGTCGAAATAACATTTCTTTTTTTTATATATGCATAGGAAATAAGTTAGTGCATTAACCCACCCGTTCGAAATAACATTTATATCTTTCCTTGTAAGAATGAACAATCGTGTTTATGCAATTAGGGATTTGTTTTTTCACTCAACAACAACATAGATATCTCTCTCTTCAGCATCTGTAAGAGATCAGTTTGAATCAATTTAGTTGGTAAGATTCAATTTGAATCAACGTAACTGTTATTTCTTTCCTAGACATACAAACAATACCAAAGTCCTTAAAAGTAGGACTAATTTTTTTTTTCTGGTTTTTTTTTTCAACGGCAAAGGTTGTGCGCGGATCAACTTAAATGTATCTCGACTAATTTTCTGTTCAATCCGGTCAAAAATAGGTCCTCCTCAATCCGATCAAAGTATGAATAATCTTAAGTTTGTGAGTAGGTCACTCTTACATGTTTGAAGACCCTTGACCCAGTTTGACCACTCTTATATATTTGAAGAACTTAGACTTGTTCCTTTGCCGGATTTTAAAACAGTCTTAGGAAGCCAGAGTAAGCGGACAAGAGTGAATAAAGAAAATATAGAAGCTGAAAGTCTGTCGACCAAAAAAATAATTTGTTCTTAGGTATAGATTTTCTTTGCCAGCTGAAAATATTGACAACGGCAAAAATATGATCAATCTTAATCCCAAAAAAAATGATAACAACTCTTTGCGTTGAAATGCGAGTACAATTACACCATGTTAGTAAGAGATTGTGAGTCTGTGAGAGATTTGTGCAAGAAATGCATAGGATTTGTTTTGGGGAAAACTTTTTTCAGAAGGAATTCCTACCAAATGCCATCGTTTTCTTGGGAGCTAAATTTTAGCCTGCAAACTAACAAAAAAAAAACGGCTCTTTTCGTCTAACAGCACCATGTGGTTGTTTTAGCCTAACAGCAAAGGAGCTGCTCCCAAGGGAAGGACTAAGGAGGGTCCATGATCAGCGTCGTGGTGTTGTTGGCATGTGGTTGGGCTGTCTGTTACAGTGTGTCCCTTTGACCAAATGTTTTTTTCTGAGCAAAGACTGTTATGTGTTGAGAGACTCTCAGTACACACACACACACACTTTGCTCTTTTTCAGAATGCGACCAACCTTACTTTGTCACTGAGCCGTTAAGGTTAATGGACACGACATGACGACTTTTTATCAGCCTTTGTTCCTCCTCTGACGTTAGCCCTCCCCTCCGTTGACTGCTTTTCCTTTTCGCACCTTGTGTTTGTCGCTTTGAGTTTGGTTTTTATTAGGGGCTTGCTAATTGCTAAGCTTTATTAAATTATTAGTTTTATAAGTAAACTGAAAAATCAAGTTGTAAAAAACTGGGTGGGTGGTGGGTGTATCGATATTGGGATCTGACGGTGATTTCGTCTCACCACCCACCTTGTCCTTGTGTTCTTCTATATATTTTCCGTCAGAATCATCAAATTTTATAGCGGTGTTAAATTATTTGAAATGAAAAAAATTTAGTAAGAATAGTATTGCTCTTGATGAAAGGTGCATGAGTTGGTGAGAATGCTTTATGGGAGTTCGCACAGAGAGAAAGACAATGTGGTGTGGTGTGGTGTAGTCTGGTCGCCCTCCTGTCTGAGTCTCTAGGTGAGATGCTTTTGTGTCCTTAGGCTTAAGCCAGTTGTTGTCTCCAAGCAACTTGTCGCTACCCCTAATCAACCTTGGCACTTTACTTTAATTTATAATCCCAAAGTAAAGTCATGGCAACCTAAACAACTCTTTGAAAGGAAGTGACCATCATGACGCTTTCCTTGTGGCTTCATCAACAACACTAAAACAACTGTTTCTGTTCTTCCTCAACTGATTTCCTTTCTTAAAAAAATCTTCGACACTCTCCATTAGGGTTCTACTTCTAACAAAGAGTGGATCCCTTTTCTCGATATACAAATATGCTAACATGGCATTGAAAGGATGTTTATTAACTCTCATCTTGCAGTCCACAACCACCGGAAACAAACTAGATTATCAAATAATTCTGTGGCTCATATGGCCAGAAAAGGTATCTTCTATGTAGTTCTACTACTGTGCTCTCACGACACTCACTCACTCATCCTACATTTCACTTCCTTCCTTCCATGCATATATACCTTAACAGGATGAATGGGTCCATAAAACCCACCCAAACATTTTGTCCGAACATGGTCTCATTGGAATGATCTACCTGTACACCACCACTTTGATTCCCATTCATTACGCAAAGCTTCATTGCTAGATATACTCCCTCAAACAAGGATAAAAAAGATGGGGCTAATTCACATAACTAAACTCTTATCTTCAATTTAACAACTCAAAAAAAATTATTTCAACTCAAAGAAGTTGAAGCAAGTTCAAAAATAAATTACAAACATTTACTTTACTGATATGCCTGAACTAATTTGCATGAATAATTAGAGGCATTGTAACAAAGGTCCCAGGATTCTGCAAGGTAACAAGAAGTATTATGAGGCTTGACATGCCTCTAAACAGTAAATGCCACGGCTAAAAAAGACTGGTATTTCTACTGGCGAGTGATAGGTGCCATTGGCAAGGATGTCGGCTGGCTATAAAAACTACCTTCAGCAGGATAACCCTGATAAATGTTTGCTGGAGGGGCTGTAAAGGGAGATATCCCATTGGTTGGAATGCCTACAGTCGGATAACCAGGCAGGGGTGGCAGCTGCTGTTGGGTTGCACCATAGCCATATGGGCCACTAGGTATTGAACCAGCAGTCTGCCTGAACTGGGGCAATGGATATGGCTGCATAGGGGGCTGCATAGGTGGCAGCGGTGGCAACGGTGGAGGAGATGATGGGGGAGGGGGTTGCTCATTTGAAGTCAGCTCTTGGGAGGTCAATGGGATATTGTGTTGCACTGGGCCGGAATGTGGAAAAGGTGGAACTGCTTGAGGATTCTGAGGAGGTATATAAGAAGAATGATCATTCTCGAGCTTAGGTCTTTTCTCTGAAGGATAATCACTAGAAGATTCTTTCGTTGAATTGCCAATGACACCCTCCGATGCCAAAGAGGAGAGTACATAAGTGAGCATCTGGGCTGAGGATGTTGATGCAGTTAACTTTGCCGCCACAGCAGCTGCTGCAGATTTTGGATCTTCTTCAGCGTGGATAGATTTCTCAGCAAAAGGAACCTGCCGGGTGTACATCACTGGAGCTGATTGTTCTCCATTTCCAGCTATAAAACCTTGAGGCGCTCTGGAGGTGTGAATTTCCTTCAGACTCTGCTCAGCTGGCAATTGCACATTGTTGGAATTTAGCAAGTTTCGGCAAATATTACCTGCCTGTTCAGACTGGGACTGAGCGGCCTAAAAACAACACACATGAAAAGGGGCACTAAGAATGACATGACAGTTCTAACAAAGAGTAACCAGTACGCATTCAAAAAAGATGTACACATATCCNAGACTGGGACTGAGCGGCCTAAAAACAACACACATGAAAAGGGGCACTAAGAATGAGATGACAGTTCTAACAAAGAGTAACCAGTACGCATTCAAAAAAGATGTACACATATCCCACACCAAGTACAGAATCAACTAGGTTAAACAATTATTGGGTCAGGATCCCAAAAACAATTCATGATTCCAGGGTTATACCGTTCGGATCAGCCAACTAATACACCAACACTGTAGTAGACTCTACTAGACTTTAAGACAAATCTTCTCTCATGTCACTCATCTGCTAAGATAAAGAAAGACATCTCCATTTTGTCAAACTACACTCATATCTTTCTCTGCCTGCACGATGTTCCACGTGAACCCTGCAGTTTATTATCTCACTATTCAATATTCATGTTCATGGTGTCCAACCATATAAGGCTGGAACCAAATTCAAACCTGCAATTGTAATGTTCTCAATCATTCCAGTAGAGTATCCTTTAACAGGTGCACATCAAAGCACAGTTTGAAGCATATTAACTAATAAGGCTTCCCGTCATAGCCCAAACTGGTAAATTCTCAGTTGCTATTTATACCTAATTACCCATGCCTCCTGCTCAAATTTTCATTCTTCAAACAATCATTAAAGACAGAGTAAAGAGGTTTGGATGCAAAGGTAAGCATGGCTTGGCCGTGGCTTCCCCCAGACCTGCAACCCCCTACCCTTCAAGTCCCCAAAAAAAAAAAAAATTAAAAAAGGAAAGAGGAAAGGAAACAAACTTTGTAGAATTTTCTATTCTTCTCATCTCAGTGTATTTAATAATGAGGACACCTTGGAACCATACTCCCATTAGACCGGTCAAAATCCAAACTGACACGAATTAATACGAATTAAGCGGGTTTGGGTGAGGCTTTAACGGTTTAGGTGGTAAATGAGTTGAACCGTCAGACACGTTTAATAAACGGGTCGTGTTCGGATGAGACCTGTCAACCTGTTTACCCGTTTAAATAAATTTATTATAATAATAAATTAATAATTATTCTATATATATATATATATATATATATATATATAAAATAATGAATGAGTAAAGAAAATACAGTAAAGAAAACATTTCAAAAAAAAAACAAAAGTAAGGAAATCAGTTCAATAAAAAATAGAAAACAGAAGCTTTAAGCCTTTCAGGCATTGAATTTTCTTTTCTTTGAATCTCACATAGACAGGGGAGTGGAGAAAAAGGGCTTTAGTTACCTATAAAAGAGGTAGGGGGCCTCCTCTTTTTAGCTGACCTTTGTGGTGTGACTTATCACGTGAACTGTTGGCTGTTAGTAGGAGTTTTCAAATTTTCGATTGGCCACAATTTTCTACCCTACCCTACTGAACGGCTAGCCGCAAAAATCAGGTAAGAATGTGGAATACCTATCAATTTTCGCATTCCCACCCTACCCTACCCGCATTAATTAATTAATATATAAACTAAAAAACCCCTAATTGCTAACCAACTTTATCATCTACTGAGTATTGATTAAGCGAGCGCCTCACTCCACTCCTTTCCTCTCCTCTTGCCTCTATCGACTTTCATCGCTCAAGCCTGTGCCTCCATAGTTCAGGCTTTCATCGTTCAATCCCGACCTCCCCAGGTAGTCTCTCTCTCTATCTATCTCTCTCTGCCTCTGTTTGGGCACAATCTGGTGGTCTTCATTGAGGCCCTCACCTAGCATCTATTAGTTCAATTAACATATGTTTCAAAAAGAATTTGGAAGCCACATAGCCAATTCGGTCTTACTCCCTATTCTTTCTTACAGAAAAACTACAAGAGAACTGGAGTAATGTAGAATGACTTGTCCCAATTTATTTATTGCAAATCTGATATGCAGTTCTTGTTTTTTCTTCAAAAATATTCGAATAATTTCGCCAGTAATCAGATTTACTTTGTAAGTTAGGTTTTGTTTTATGCTAATTCAATGAAATATTAGGTCAGTTAAATGGGTCTGTAATTTCTCCACATGAATTCCAGAGTTGGTACTTTGTGCTTAGTTGATTCTAAATACTCATGGTTAATAAAGAAAGATGTTAATATTGTTATCCTAAGAAACGCAATGCTGATTCAACTAACTGAGATATTGTGATTATTATGCCTACATTTTACTTCTCGTTTAGCTTGTAATCTGTATTTTTCACTCTTAATAGCTAGCATTCAGAATCTTGATACACAATTTTGGTGATGCTGTTTTGTTGTTTGATCTTGAATGTATTGATTTGTTGATGGATTTTAGCAATGCAGTATCTGTCATTGGTCTTCTTTTTTTTTTTTTGTCCCTCAAGATACCAAGAAGTAGAATACATTGACTAATTAAATATAGAGTTAATTTGGATGTAGCATATTGCTGGAAGGTTGTTCTTCAATACTATGTGAGTTGCAAAGGATAAATATTATTGAAATTATGATCAAGATCGATAACTTTATGTCAGCCTCTTTACCTGCAATTATAGTAGGCTATACGGTACATAGCAACCATGAATTCAATATTTCAATCTTTTTATTTTACATACCTGAGCGTGTAATTTTGCTTGTTCTGATTTTTTTGTTTTTGTTCACTAATCATTTCCTTATGGATGAAATTACTCCACAATCATCTACTCAAGCTGATTCTAATAGTAACATCCAAGTTACCGATGACATTCAGGGTGAGGGACAAGATACAAAAATATTATCTAGAGTTTGAGAGCATTTTCAAAAGATTAAAGCAGCAGATGAAGCTAAATGTCAGCATTGTAGTAAGATTTACAATTATCATCTAAGAAAAACAGGTACTTTATCATTTAGATCATTGTAAATCCTATTTGGCGAGTGTGAATAAGGACACATCTCAATTAAAGTTAATTGGTGCATTCGAAAAGATAAAGATGGTGTTAGTAGTAACCTTAGTGTTGCTAAATTCAATGAAAAGAAAATTAGGTAGACAACTATGATTACAGTAGGTGAATTGTCGTTCTGGTTTGTTGAAGGAGAAGAGTTTAGAGATTAGATGAGGACTGTTGAACCTAAATTTCGTATATCTTCTCGTACCACTGTGATGAGGGATTGTTTGCAATTATATAAGATGGAGAAAAAAAATTGAAGAGAGATGAATGAGATGACACTAGCAAAAACTGTGTTATTTAACTTTTTTATATAATTTTTTAATAATTATAAGAGTATTTGTGTGGTATAATTTATATTATAACATTATTATTGTTGTAGATATTTGAGTTGCTAAAATATTGACTTATTTTTTGTGTAGGTTGCATAATTTGTGATGAACTGGTGATCTATTTGNGTAGATATTTGAGTTGCTAAAATATTGACTTATTTTTTGTGTAGGTTCCATAATTTGTGACGAACTGGTGATCTATTTGAACAGTTATGATTTTAATGTGTTTCATATCGTTTAAACTTAAAATAATTGTTATTATATTTGTGTAACAATTATGATGAATTGATGTTTATGCTTTCTTGTTTTTTATTGTAATTGTTATTGTAGTTGTTTTAGATTTTAGTGTTATTGTTTTATTGTGTTGTTAAATTGGTACATATTATTTAATTGAATTGTTAAAATGATCTAAAAATTAAAAGTTACAAAAGTATTTTTCCGACTTCCTACCCGATTAACCGGGTAAGAAGTCGGATACGAATACCACACCTGATCAATTAGGATAGGCCAAGAAAATTTTTTTTCGCAAAATATCGGGTAAGAAGACAGAAGAATATATTTCCTATCCGTAGGGTAGGATGAACACCCCTAGCTATTGGCTGAAACTCCTCCAATTGAGGAAAGTATAGTTGGAAGCAAAAAAAAATAATGTAAACATTTGTTAAAATATTTTTTTTTTATTTTTTATTTTTAAATGAATTAAACAAGTCGTGTCGTGTTACCTGTTTATTAAACAATTCGTGTTCATGTTAAAAATTTTTACCCGTTTATTAAACTTATCGTATATGAATTTTTATATTTTTCACTCGTCACCCGTTTAACCCGACACGATTGACACCCCTAACTCCCATGCCGACTTACAAAAGAATCCTTATTCATTGTTAGTTGCAAAAAGCCAACCAAATGAGTACCACAATTGTAAGCACCGCATAACTCCATGTTCTATAAAATTAAAAAAAATGGAAAATAAAATTGGATACTTCCGTAGTTTATGATCCCAGATTATTTGAGATACAGATGAATTAAAAGTTTTTTGTACTACATTAAAACAAGGTCATTGTGAAGAGATGATAGGGTCCCATTTGTCAAGGAATTATANCGTAGTTTATGATCCCAGATTATTTGAGATACAGATGAATTAAAAGTTTTTTGTACAACATTAAAACAAGGTCATTGTGAAGAGATGATAGGGTCCCATTTGTCAAGGAATTACACGTGTGCTTATTTTTCACTAAATTAAGGGATATTGAGAAACCAAATTTTACCAACCAAGAATATTCAATTAATAAACCTTATCTTTTAAAGAGATGAATATGCGGTGAACTTGGTCACTCTAATCTTTCGCTTCACTTTTTTCTAACATCCTTTGCTTCACACGGTAATATTGACGAACCAGACCAGATGATGATAGAAGTTGTAGAAAGCTGGTTGGGCACGTAGGCATCTAGGTGGGGTTGCTGCAACAAAGTAAGGATGGACTTTGATTTTTAAATTGACAACAGTTTAAGATGCAGTTACCAATCACTCTCTTTTGTGGGTATAAGTTATGTGGGATGAAAACAGCTCATTATTTTCTCTGGGAGACCAATATGAAGTCAAACAACATGGAGTAGAGAGAAGTCACCAAGAAGTAGGAAGCTTAGAAAGAGAGACAAAGTGGGGACGGTTGAAAGTGGAAGACCAAGTGAAGACAAACTACTGGGAAAGCAGAATCCAGCTTTAAATTGGGCTATGCTCACATGACGTTTCCATACCTCCTGAAGTGCAATTTCTCCTTTCGTGCTCTTTTTCATTGTGTTTTGGCGTGATTTTCAAGAACGGCCACCAGACAAATAGCTTGATTTTTCTCAAAGACGAAGGCCCAGCATCTAAGGGGGCAGAATCTTCCAACTTGCTTACCTTTTCTTCTCTAGTGTCCCAAGAAAATCAATAAAGCATAAAATTAAATACCCGCTCATCAACTTAAGCAAAACAGAACCATTACCCCAGGAATCCAGACCTAACCCAGCGTCAGTAACATATCAAAACAATTGTTATTAACCTCACATGCATTTAAAGAATACTGAAGAGATCATTAACCAAAATGGTATGTACTACCACATTATACTCCAAGCAACCAAGGCAACTGAGTGCTTACCTGAAGTTGATTTCGGACATGATTCAGCTTATATTCCTGAGAGAAAACCATTACAGCTCTCCATCAGATGAGGATGGAACAAAGTGAAAACAAGTAATGTACCACTAAAGTATTTCATAGGCTAGCCACTAGACAACCAACCTGCTCTTGAAGGGCCTCCCTTAGATGAGACACAAGATTGGCTCTTGATGATTCAACAGCTGTCAGCTGATCAATACAATCACTCAAAACAGCATGATACCCCTTAAGTTCCTCTGCAATTCCAGGCCCACTGAATTGCCCTAATTCAGAGAGAGAAAAAAAAAAGGGCATAACTTAAATTATACATATATATTTATATATATAGAGAGAGAGAGAGGAGGGAGGGAGAGAGAATAGATCTAACTACATTAGTGAGATATCATACGAAACAAACACAATTAGGAAAATGTAAATGTAGAATACACGAACAATATGAGTTCATTCAATCTGCAAGCTCAACAAGAGATGCGAGTGCTTAACTCGAGTATCACCATTCCATAAGTNCACCCTACCCTACCCGCATTAATTAATTAATATATAAACTAAAAAAACCCTAATTGCTAACCAACTTTATCATCTACTGAGTATTGATTAAGCGAGCGCCTCACTCCACTCCTTTCCTCTCCTCTTGCCTCTATCGACTTTCATCGCTCAAGCCTGTGCCTCCATAGTTCAGGCTTTCATCGTTCAATCCCGACCTCCCCAGGTAGTCTCTCTCTCTATCTATCTCTCTCTGCCTCTGTTTGGGCACAATCTGGTGGTCTTCATTGAGGCCCTCACCTAGCATCTATTAGTTCAATTAACATATGTTTCAAAAAGAATTTGGAAGCCACATAGCCAATTCGGTCTTACTCCCTATTCTTTCTTACAGAAAAACTACAAGAGAACTGGAGTAATGTAGAATGACTTGTCCCAATTTATTTATTGCAAATCTGATATGCAGTTCTTGTTTTTTCTTCAAAAATATTCGAATAATTTCGCCAGTAATCAGATTTACTTTGTAAGTTAGGTTTTGTTTTATGCTAATTCAATGAAATATTAGGTCAGTTAAATGGGTCTGTAATTTCTCCACATGAATTCCAGAGTTGGTACTTTGTGCTTAGTTGATTCTAAATACTCATGGTTAATAAAGAAAGATGTTAATATTGTTATCCTAAGAAACGCAATGCTGATTCAACTAACTGAGATATTGTGATTATTATGCCTACATTTTACTTCTCGTTTAGCTTGTAATCTGTATTTTTCACTCTTAATAGCTAGCATTCAGAATCTTGATACACAATTTTGGTGATGCTGTTTTGTTGTTTGATCTTGAATGTATTGATTTGTTGATGGATTTTAGCAATGCAGTATCTGTCATTGGTCTTCTTTTTTTTTTTTTGTCCCTCAAGATACCAAGAAGTAGAATACATTGACTAATTAAATATAGAGTTAATTTGGATGTAGCATATTGCTGGAAGGTTGTTCTTCAATACTATGTGAGTTGCAAAGGATAAATATTATTGAAATTATGATCAAGATCGATAACTTTATGTCAGCCTCTTTACCTGCAATTATAGTAGGCTATACGGTACATAGCAACCATGAATTCAATATTTAAATCTTTTTATTTTACATACCTGAGCGTGTAATTTTGTTTGTTTTGATTTTTTTGTTTTTGTTCACTAATCATTTCCTTATGGATGAAATTACTCCACAATCATCTGCTCAAGCTGATTCTAATAGTAACATCCAAGTTACCGATGACATTCAGGGTGAGGGACAAGATACAAAAATATTATCTAGAGTTTGAGAGCATTTTGAAAAGATTAAAGCTGCAGATGAAGCTAAATGTCAGCATTGTAGTAAGATTTACAATTATCATCTAAGAAAAACAGGTACTTTATCATTTAGATCATTGTAAATCCTATTTGGCGAGTGTGAATAAGGACACATCTCAATTAAAGTTAATTGGTGCATTCGAAAAGATAAAGATGGTGTTAGTAGTAACCTTAGTGTTGCTAAATTCAATGAAAAGAAAATTAGGTAGACAACTATGATTACAGTGGGTGAATTGTCGTTCTGGTTTGTTAAAGGAGAAGAGTTTAGAGATTAGATGAGGGCTGTTGAACCTAAATTTCGTATATCTTCTCGTACCACTGTGATGAGGGATTGTTTGCAATTATATAAGATGGAGAAAAAAAATTGAAGAGAGATGAATGAGATGACACTAGCAAAAACTGTGTTATTTAACTTTTTTATATAATTTTTTAATAATTATAAGAGTATTTGTGTGGTATAATTTATATTATAACATTATTATTGTTGTAGATATTTGAGTTGCTAAAATATTGACTTATTTTTTGTGTAGGTTCCATAATTTGTGACGAACTGGTGATCTATTTGAACAGTTATGATTTTAATGTGTTTCATATCGTTTAAACTTAAAATAATTGTTATTATATTTGTGTAACAATTATGATGAATTGATGTTTATGCTTTCTTGTTTTTTATTGTAATTGTTATTGTAGTTGTTTTAGATTTTAGTGTTATTGTTTTATTGTGTTGTTAAATTGGTACATATTATTTAATTGAATTGTTAAAATGATCTAAAAATTAAAAGTTACAAAAGTATTTTTCCGACTTCCTACCCGATTAACCGGGTAAGAAGTCGGGTACGAATATCACACCTGATCAATTAGGATAGGCCAAGAAAATTTTTTTTCGCAAAATATCGGGTAGGAAGACAGAAGAATATATTTCCTATCCGTAGGGTAGGATGAACACCCCTAGCTATTGGCTGAAACTCCTCCAATTGAGGAAAGTATAGTTGGAAGCAAAAAAAAATAATGTAAACATTTGTTAAAATATTTTTTTTTATTTTTTATTTTTAAATGAATTAAACAAGTCGTGTCGTGTTACCTGTTTATTAAACAATTCGTGTTCATGTTAAAAATTTTTACCCGTTTATTAAACTTATCGTATATGAATTTTTATATTTTTCACTCGTCACCCGTTTAACCCGACACGATTGACACCCCTAACTCCCATGCCAACTTACAAAAGAATCCTTATTCATTGTTAGTTGCAAAAAGCCAACCAAATGAGTACCACAATTGTAAGCACCGCATAACTCCATGTTCTATAAAATTAAAAAAAAATGGAAAATAAAATTGGATACTTCCGTAGTTTATGATCCCAGATTATTTGAGATACAGATGAATTAAAAGTTTTTTGTACAACATTAAAACAAGGTCATTGTGAAGAGATGATAGGGTCCCATTTGTCAAGGAATTATACGTGTGCTTATTTTTCACTAAATTAAGGGATATTGAGAAACCAAATTTTACCAACCAAGAATATTCAATTAATAAACCTTATCTTTTAAAGAGATGAATATGCGGTGAACTTGGTCACTCTAATCTTTCGCTTCACTTTTTTCTAACATCCTTTGCTTCACACGGTAATATTGACGAACCAGACCAGATGATGATAGAAGTTGTAGAAAGCTGGTTGGGCACGTAGGCATCTAGGTGGGGTTGCTGCAACAAAGTAAGGATGGACTTTGATTTTTAAATTGACAACAGTTTAAGATGCAGTTACCAATCACTCTCTTTTGTGGGTATAAGTTATGTGGGATGAAAACAGCTCATTATTTTCTCTGGGAGACCAATATGAAGTCAAACAACATGGAGTAGAGAGAAGTCACCAAGAAGTAGGAAGCTTAGAAAGAGAGACAAAGTGGGGACGGTTGAAAGTGGAAGACCAAGTGAAGACAAACTACTGGGAAAGCAGAATCCAGCTTTAAATTGGGCTATGCTCACATGACGTTTCCATACCTCCTGAAGTGCAATTTCTCCTTTCGTGCTCTTTTTCATTGTGTTTTGGCGTGATTTTCAAGAACGGCCACCAGACAAATAGCTTGATTTTTCTCAAAGACGAAGGCCCAGCATCTAAGGGGGCAGAATCTTCCAACTTGCTTACCTTTTCTTCTCTAGTGTCCCAAGAAAATCAATAAAGCATAAAATTAAATACCCGCTCATCAACTTAAGCAAAACAGAACCATTACCCCAGGAATCCAGACCTAACCCAGCGTCAGTAACATATCAAAACAATTGTTATTAACCTCACATGCATTTAAAGAATACTGAAGAGATCATTAACCAAAATGGTATGTACTACCACATTATACTCCAAGCAACCAAGGCAACTGAGTGCTTACCTGAAGTTGATTTCGGACATGATTCAGCTTATATTCCTGAGAGAAAACCATTACAGCTCTCCATCAGATGAGGATGGAACAAAGTGAAAACAAGTAATGTACCACTAAAGTATTTCATAGGCTAGCCACTAGACAACCAACCTGCTCTTGAAGGGCCTCCCTTAGATGAGACACAAGATTGGCTCTTGATGATTCAACAGCTGTCAGCTGATCAATACAATCACTCAAAACAGCATGATACCCCTTAAGTTCCTCTGCAATTCCAGGCCCACTGAATTGCCCTAATTCAGAGAGAGAAAAAAAAAAGGGCATAACTTAAATTATACATATATATTTATATATATAGAGAGAGAGAGAGGAGGGAGGGAGAGAGAATAGATCTAACTACATTAGTGAGATATCATACGAAACAAACACAATTAGGAAAATGTAAATGTAGAATACACGAACAATATGAGTTCATTCAATCTGCAAGCTCAACAAGAGATGCGAGTGCTTAACTCGAGTATCACCATTCCATAAGTATTACGTCAAGGCACTCCATCACATTGCATATTTATCAAAACGGAGGGAAGGTGACAAATGCATTAAACTTGTTAAGTTGCTACAATAGAAGTACATATTACAGACTCTCCATCACATATCAAGAACTCAAATGCCACAGTTTTATATTTTGGTTAATGAAAAATAACTTTTGAGTACAGCAACATAGTTGGGGTCCAAGTGAATTTCTTCTGCACTTCTAATCAGTCATGTTAGTACCAAAACTCTTCAGCTATTATATTATCACTGTTTAGTAGACTTGCTTCAGAATGTTATTATATTAAATATGCTGGTGCATATCACAAGCTTATGTGTCTTACATACATTACAAATTCCGACATAATACTTCATGAAATACAAAGCCAAAACTTTATACTCTAAGAAGAAAATTACAAGACTAAAGGGAGGAGAATAAAACTGAATGAATACACATGAATGCACAACCATGCATAGATAGTATAGTATCAATGTAGATGGAATTAGGACAAATAAATAATTAAGTAGAAAGCATAATGCATCGCACTCTCAGATTCTCTACAAAGATATCACGCAAGATGTACCTGATCTAATATCGCCATGAATATCCATATCTACTTTCTCAACACAGCTAATGGCATTCCTACATTTATTCAATATAGCATCTTCATCCAGTTGACCACCATAAACAACTTGATAACCCGAAACAATTTTGTCCAACACATTGCCAGAAGGATGTTTCTGTTAAAGAACAAAGTTAGAATAGTAATCCATATATCGTGCACAAAAGTACAATATCCATGGAAAAAGAGCTTTTGCAGTATTGCAGATGTTTGTAATTCATGGTGTGCTGTGTACAGAGAAGTGGAATTACCAGTTTGAACCCTGAATGCTTCCCATTTTTATTGGTGTTATCCACATGCCTCCCCACCAGCTCTTCCTTAAGAATCTGACCTCGAGAGCCAAAAACTTTCCTCTCCTCCCAAATTCCAACCTAAAACAGGAATATAAACGAACTGATAAGATTCTGCTGATAACCACGTTAAATAACCAATTGAGATGTTTGATATTCTAATCATAAGAGACTGGAAGAAGCGGAATGCATTCAAACTTGTAAAATACCAGCAATGATGACAATAATAAAACAGAAAAAAGAAAGAAAGGAAACCACCTAAAAGAACAACCAACAGATACATATGTGAAAAGGGGAGATGGGCATATCCTGCCAAACAAGTCTGTTGGCAGAGGCATCTTAGAGAGATCATTACCCAAGTGTAATTTGCAATATACAACTGCATAGTCAAACAACTAAAACAAATAACTATTCCTTTTACAATGTAGAATTAAGTAGATGCTACTGAAGTGAATACTAACTTCTTAACATTGGACAAGAATATTAGCATCCACTCAGACTCATCACGTCTTCAGCCCAAGAAACATGGTCATCATGCGATCAAAAACAATCTATTGAAGAACACAAATGAAAGATGCCACTAAGGCTGGGCTCCAACTCCGACAAAGTCAGAGGGCATGTATCCGAACTCCAACACTTCGGAGTGAATTTTTTCCTCCGACTCCGAACTACATTAACTCCGGATTTGATTCCGCCACTTGGAGTCAAAGTGAAGGCGGAGTGGAGTTTCGGAGTTTCGCAAGTGAGATCTTCGAAATCAGATTTGGTGGAGTCTTCGTCGCTTGAAGTGACTGGAAGGTGGAGCTTCATTGGCGCATACGAGTGAATAAATCATAAAGGAGAATGAGATAGGGTTTCAAAATTAAGAAGTATATTATGTAATTTGTTTTTAAGTCTTCCAAGTGGCTGGGTCAGAGACAATAGAGTGAGGGTGGTATAACTACCATTATGCCCATGTTTACACTGCACAATTCTCCAAAGTATTCATTATGCTGTAAACAAGTTTTATTTTAGATCTCATGCTGTAAACAAGTTGAGGCATTTATTTGGACCATGACACGTGTTCCAATTATTGACTGCAGGTGAGCTTTTAAACAATGCTAGCTTTTTTTATCTTTTATAATTTTGCTTATACACATTAGTCTAAAAAAAAGTGGCTGCGTTTTAAAATTAATGATAATATATTATGCAATTCATAATTTATAATTTACATAAAATTATTATTTTAATAAAAGTCGGAGTCGGAGTTTTTTCGGAAAGGATATCAAACTCCAACTCCTACTCCGATCGGAGATTGAGTTTTCCCTCCGACTCCGTTAAACTTTGACTCTGACAATGTCGAAACGAAGTCGGATTTTAGGATTCTTGCACCCCTAGATGCTACAAGGGGGTGGACCATCCAATTAAACTGTAGACTCATGTAAATTAATATCAAATCCCTTGTCAACCTATCAACAACACCGAATAATCATTTTCCCAAAAATTTAGCAATCAAAACAGACAGGCCGACCGCTGGGTCACCACTAAATGGTTAACACTGCCTCAAGTTTCAACAGCTCCTAACTTCTCGACCTTTTGTGGTAAATGGTAATATATGATGGTTGCACAAATGATGCCATTAACTGCTTTCATGCTGCAGTAGGTAATCAATCAGACTACCAATCACCATGTGCCACAGATATCTACACAATGATTATTGTAGGAAGTTAGAAATCAAGGAAAGAAACGTACAAAGGAAACCTGATGCTTAAATAAAGACATCTGACCTCTATGCAGTTTTCTACCCAGGATATATAACATCTTTCTCCATAGCACTTTAGCTGTTTGTCACACTCCCGTGAGCAAAATCTAAGAGCTGGGAGATTCCTTTAAGTCTAATTTAACAAAAAAGGGGTCCGTCAAAATGGAAGATTAAAGAAAATAGAGCTATATAACTTTCTTGGGTAATATGAATGTGAACGTAAGAGGGGGCAATGCTTCCAAAGGAGAAGCAAGCCAATAAGTTTCCAAGAGCTTAGAAGATAGACGATGTCGATGCCAATTAACCTCTCCTTCAATCCCCTGGAGTTCCCCTTGTTGTCAAAGGGTTGTCCCTGATCTTCATCAACTAGATGGACCCTTGTTTACTTTATGAGAAAGCGAGCAGAAACATAATCTGCCAAAGTAGATATAGAATTTTTTGTAAAGTGGCTTATTTTTGACACCCCCTCACTAGATCAAACAAATAAAGCTCCATTGAATGAATCAACTTCTCCCTCCGAAACAAGGGTCAATGGTTCAGGGAAAAACCTATCTTAGTGATGTTTAAAAAGGGCGAAGACATTTTCGAAACGTGTTACTTGTAGTTGCCCTGTCAGTACAAAGGTAGTTGGTGCCTTTCGAAGCACTTTCTAGTGTACACTTTAGTTTGATTGTACCTAGTGCGCTTTACTAATAAGATAGAAAGGGTTTTTCTCGCTTGTTTAATAAAGTCAAATTTTTGGTCTTACCTTGCAGTTGTTGGAGGATACGGCGACGTCGAGTTGACGACATTCAATTACTGTCTTAAGAACATAGTTGTCAAATCGTGTATCAAAAGGCGTATCGTTTTTTTAAAATAGTGTATCGTATCGTGTATCGTACGATACACGCAATTTTAATTTTTAAATAATTATTAATAAAATATATGTACATACCTTTGTAAAAAAGTCATAGACTNTCAAAAGGCGTATCGTTTTTTTAAAATAGTGTATCGTATCGTGTATCGTACGATACGCGCAATTTTAATTTTTAAATAATTATTAATAATATATATGTATATACCTTTGTAAAAAAGTCATAGAGTNTCGTGTATCGTACGATACACGCAATTTTAATTTTTAAATAATTATTAATAAAATATATGTACATACCTTTGTAAAAAAGTCATAGACTCATAATAACATAACATTTCACCAACTATTCAGGTTCCTAACATAGTTTAGTAATATCAAAATGCAAAAACCTCTAATTCAAACTTCTAACATCAACTACTTGAAGTTACTTTAATATTAATTAGAAATTTTGAATTCAATTAAACAACATTAACAACATATTTTTTTTATTTTTTTTTAAACTATAACCACTGAAACGACGTTATTTCACTAGCTAGTGATTTAAAAATAAGTCATAGAGTAAAAAGATATCATTTCAACCCCAAAAAATTAAANCTTCTAACATCAACTACTTGAAGTTACTTTAATATTAATTAGAAATTTTGAATTCAATTAAACAACATTAACAACATATTTTTTTTATTTTTTTTTAAACTATAACCACTGAAACGACGTTATTTCACTAGCTAGTGAGTTAAAAAATAAGTCATAGAGTAAAAAGATATCATTTCAACCCCAAAAAATTAAAAAAAAAAATTTAAAAATAATCGTCACGTATCGGGCGTATCGTATCGTACAATATGGTGCAAAAACAATACAGAGGCACGATACATATCATTTTTCAGGTGTATCGTGACGTATCGTACGATACTAATAACTATGCCTAAGAATACAAGGTCTATGGATGGTTGCGGGTGATTTGTTCACAATTTCACGTNAAAAAAAAATTTAAAAATAATCGTCACGTATCGGGCGTATCGTATCGTACAATATGGTGCAAAAACAATACAGAGGCACGATACATATCATTTTTCAGGTGTATCGTGACGTATCGTACGATACTAATAACTATGTCTAAGAATACAAGGTCTATGGATGGTTGCGGGTGATTTGTTCACAATTTCACATGTCTAAAAAACTTGGTGGCAGCCATCCAAATATTGTATCTTTAGAAGAATTCAATGCAATAATTAATGATTATGTCATCATTGATAATGGTTATGAGAGCAACATACCCGGTCAAATAAACAAGAGTGAAGGCTTTGATTGGGCGAGGTTTGACAGAATTTTCACTAATGCGGCTTGCGCTAATATTTTATCCTATACTATGGTTAAAGACTTAAGGTAGCAAGACAAAAATGAGTGGTATTTGACATCCATATACGCATGACTGAGAGCCATTCTGGTCTTAGATGGTTAGTACTAGACATCATGCAAACACGAACTGAAATGGAGATTTCAAATAGTAATATGATTAGGCCCTAGCGTAGACTTCCAAATCCATCTAGGAGGGAACCTATGCGGTTAGGCCGTAGAACCACAAAAACATCCCAATACCCATTCTTTTTTTCAACAGAAATTTACTGCTATGCCTTCAGATAATAACATAAGACAACTGTTCTACAATATTATCTGTACTACGGTATAGCAGATTCCCCACTGAAACGATATGGCCTCCCCAAAGATTACATAAACATTTTCTCTAAGCATAAACTATGAATTGCAAGTGTCTCAAATTCTAGCACAAACTTAAGAACCTGTCGAATTCTGAAAGTATCAATACCAACAATAAACCAAATCAATTCAACTTTGGATTTTACTACATATAGCTAACAGGAGACCATCTAAAGCATAAGAAATTATCAATATATTGGAAACTAAAAAGAGCATAGCTTATGCTTTAGCAAGTTATTAGAAATTAAGGATGGTAGGACAGGATCAAAATCATCAAAGTTTGCTTTGGCCTTTCTCATTGTGTAAAAAATCGAGACCGTAAGCTAAAGAAATCAATAATACTTTCTTTGAACATTATACAACCGAGGGATTCATGAGTCAAAGCAGAACATAATCCACATTTGACAATACAAGAATAACCAAAAACGTAGGCACATGGTAGCCAACAAGTGCAGAAAGTTAGAACAACATACCAACCGAAGTGCTGCATTTCTGCCAAACTCATCCCCATTAATTACATCACGAAGTGCATTTGGAAGAACCTTCCAAAACTCACCAACAAACTCTGAACCCTTTCGCCGACTATTCTGCAGAATATCATTCGCTAGATATAGAAAAGCCAGTCGCTGCTCAAGAGGGGAAGAATGGAACTGTCTATCCCATGTTTCAACTACCTGCTTTGCTTTGTTCATATGAAAAATACACCAATGCGATAAAGCTTAATCACATTAAGGAACGCATCTCAATAGCATCTATTTAGTCAACAATAAAACTGGCAGTAAATGTGAGATGAATGACTAAAATGCATCAAGAATATTCCACACTAAAGAGATAGTAGAAGATGGTTATACTAGCAATGCACGGGATTAAACTTAAAATTCAAACAGATGTTGGCGTGGATTTGCCCCAATCTAAGGGCTTAGATGCATCAAAATAATTAATACAAGGGGAAGAAATAAGAGAAATAGATTGTACCAGATTGAAAAAAAATCAAACAGGGGAACACAAAGCAGTACAAAAGAAATGTTTCAACGAGAATTGATAGCCACCATAAAAAATTAAGAACTCTTCAAACAGATAAAACCAAATCCAAATTTTTCTTGAACAATGCAGATCCCCATGGTCAGCAATCAAATAGAACAATAACAGGAGATACCTTTAATTAGACGATATGAGCCCATAAAGCGCTCTTTGACCTTGTAGAATACTAACTTCTAATGCCATTTATGAACTCATAATGCCAGAAGAAAGCAAAAACATGAAGTGCTTTTTTCAAGTTGCCTTCCTCTATACAAGTAAAATCAACCAGCATGCATGCTAACACATATAGATGTCCAAAGAGGGAAGAAAAAAATAATTGGGAATCAATAAATTAAGATAAAAGGATACTCTCAATGCTCTGCTGCGAACTATTGAGCTTAGCCAGCTTTTCCACTAAAATCTGTGGATTGAATGTACTCCCCATTTTTTATAATGACGAGCTCACCCAACTAATAAATATGTAGACAAACCTTTGAAGGAGAATCCCCCATTACAAGAAAAGATACAAAAGAGAAGTGAGATGGACCTGTACGTCATAAGAAGCCACCAAACAAAAAAGATGCACAACTGTCATTTTATGAAAACATGCTCTTACGTCTTATCATATTATGCAAAATCCAGAAGCTGGAGAACATAATACAAATACCGGAGAACACAAATGACGGTGGCACAAAATGCATACATTGTCATTTAAATCTTCTAAACGAATATCCGAATGAAAGAAAAGATTCGCTTGGAAAAAATGAATCTCATGCTGGCATTAGAGCTGCTGTGCCTGTATCACAACTAAAAGAAAAACTAATACTAATAATTTGAAGAAAAAGCACCTTAAAAGTCCCCACATCATATCTCAAAGGAAACTGGCATGGTGAACAAGTACACAAAGCATGGTATTAAGCCTTAATGAAAAGTTCATTTAACAAGAAAAAAATTCAAGTATGAACAGTTATTGAAACTCAAAATCTCAAGATGAAAAAGAAAAGTTAGAAACTTGTCGTCCACTGACCAGCAACAAGGAACGAGAAAGGAGAGGTAGCAAAGTTCAATTGACAAATAAATTTCCTCTGCAACATCTGAAGAGTCCTACTTCAGAAATCAGGTAAGAGATTTAATGCATTAACATCATAATGTAAATTTTCAAGATGATCAATTTTACCCTCCAAGACTAGAAAATTCACTTTATGCATCACTTTCCACTATCAAAATAAGTACAGCATTTATCCATTTGACTTTTAAAACAAGCACCTACTTCGGGACATTCTAAAATGGAAAGAGATACTGTTAAATTGGGAGGGTGGGAGTTTTAAGCTACTAAGACCTTGCAGTTCCTAGCTTAAGAGTGTATGTGTATGTGTATGTGTGCATGTGTGATAGTGCCTACTGGAGGGCCAATTGCAAATGAGATGACTAAAACCAGAAATCTACTGTGAACCTGGTCATGCGTATACCATCTTGCTTTAAACACATGAACCCGTATGAAAATACTCCTACTGAACTTCTCACCCTTATTCGCATTTGATTAGGAACAAACCAAAACCCTTGGCATTGGCTATGCCACTTTCTACGGTCGAATCAATACAGGGTCTCCCCCCCCCCCCAAAAAAAAATAGCAAATTTGTCCCAAAGCATTGCTTACGGCAAACAATTAATTAAAAAAGAAAACATCTTTGAGACGGAAATGTAGGAAGTATAGACTCATCAAGGAATATATAAAAAGAAAGATCTTCCGCAACACATTAGGCTATGATAAGAGGTAGAAGAAAAAGAACTTGGGACTTGCATAACCAGCTATTTAATTTCTAAAAACACCAACAAGTCCGTGAAAGAGAAAACGCGAAAAGGAAAGGTATTGTCTTTCAATTTCCAACCATCATGTTCATTCGGTTCCACATCAAACAAACAAAACGTTGAAGAAAAAGTACAAAACAAAGAAGAAAGAAAATTCCCAGAGCAGGAATCATGATGGATGGTAAAACCCTAATTAGAGTGCGAGAAAAAGAACAGGTACGAATAAGAGAATTAACCAGGACACTAGATGAAAACAAACAATAAGAAGCAGATATTAATAGGCACGCACGAACCTCTACAAGAAAAAGCCTTGGCGTTTGGCGACGTACGTTCGATTTCTTCAGGAACGGAACGGATGATTTTGGAAGGAAATTGTGCAAATTTGTGTGGTAGAGTATTGGAATCTTCTGTTTTTCATACAATGAAGATGGTTTGGGTAAATTTGTAAGAAACTGCGAAGCCCCCCAAGCCAAAGCCAAGCCTTGTTTTCTCGTTGCTTTGGGGAAATCAAGTGAGGTTGGAACTTGGAACCCACTCGAAATCTACATGATAAATTAGTAAGTTAGAATTTTATTTCTATACATTTTTTTTCTTCAAGTATCACACCACCTAATTTTGTTATATATTCAATTATTTAATATTTAATTAATTTATAATTTAATATAATTTTTATCTCATACATTATTCAATATACAGATGTTAAAAAATTATATCAATTTATGTATTTTTAAAAAAAATTGATGTTATTTAAAAAATAATAATAAATAAAAATTAATTTTAATTTTAAATAATATAAGTAAAAAAAATAACTTTAAATTTAATATAATAAAATTAATTGTTTAAACATTAAAATCTTATGTTTTATCATATTTTTAGACCCAAATTATGACCGGTATACATATATAATATATCAGAAAATCGTAAGCCTATGGTTTTTTAGAGTTTGGCTTAGCTTCGCCGCCTACAAGGTATTTACTTAGGTAGCATTTGGTAAACCCGTATTTTCAATTTTTTTTTGTTTTCGTTTTCTTTTTATGGTCAAAAAAAAATTAAACACATGTTTGGTGAATGTTTTTATTTTTTTTTAATTGTTCTGTTTAAAAAACAAGTCTAAAATATAAAAACATTCAAAATGATGTTTTTGAAAACATAAAAAAAAAACACACACACAAATCATTTAATGAGGTATGAGCTTCAATCCTTCTTAACAACAAAATATGAATTTTTTTCTTTAGTATATAAAGGGTCATTCTTTTTCACCTCTCATATCTCTGTTTCTCTCTCTCTGCTAAAGATGAAGCCGACCCCATACGAAGACGAAAAGAAGCCAAAGTAGAAGGATTAGACGTCATCTCCCCCCTATCCCTCTCTTGCTCTCACTCTCTCTCTTAACCTTCTCTATTTTGGTGGTGGTAATGATTTTTTGGGAGCGATGATGGATTTCGCTAGTGGTGGTGGATTTTCGGGGGATGGGGGTGGGTTGGACGGTTGTGGATTTTCGAGGATGGGGGGTAGCGTTGGGCGGCTGTGGGTTTCAACCGATTGGGGGTGGATTTGGGTGGCTGGGTTTCAGTCGATTGGAGGTGGGGTTGGGTGGTTGGTTTTCAGTGGTGATGGGTGGCTGGTGATTGGCTGTTGGTGGTTGGTGGAGGTGTTGAGGTGGTGATTTTTTAGGTAATACCAAACACATTTTTTATTTTTATAATTTTTTAAATATAAATGTTTATCGACACATGTTTTATATTTTTAATTGTTATCACAACAAAAATAAAAATTTGTTTAATTTTTTTTAATAAAAAAAATATAAAAATAAAAACGTTACCAAACGAACCTTACAAACAAACATAGGAGATATAGGAGATAACCGTTCTGATGTCCCGGCCCGGTCAACCGGATGACTGGACTCTCCAAGAGGATAACTGCCACATAGTGAGTAGATATGTCATTTTCTCTGTTGGATCCACGACGGTCCACGACCACGCTCAAACAGATCCCACATAACTGACCTGTCCAATAACTTCTAGCCACGTCATTTTGACATCCTGTAAAGTGTTAAATCCCTACACACCAGAGAAAAATCAAAGAAAAGTTTTGATAAAAAGTTTTGATTTGACAAAACAAAGCGCATCAACACACAACAGAACAAACCCTTTTTCCTCACTCACTCCCCTAAACAATAACACTAACACTAACACACATCCTCTCTCTCTCTCTCTCGTGGCTTGTCGGCCAATCATCTTACCTCAATTCTCTGCCACCGAAAAATCGCCGGAATCTGCTGTAGCCCGGTTTTTATCACAAAGGAGGGTTCGATCCGTTGGGAGGAACTTATAATATGATCTGAGTTCTTGTTGTATGTATTGCTACTGTTACACTTTTATATATCGCCTCTCAAGTTGAGAATTGGAGAGAGAGAGAGAGAGAGAGATGTATGTAGTTCCACCTCCGAAACACAACGATCCCATATCCGGATCGGATGGTTCACGGATTTACCAGATATGGAAAGGCAGCAATGTAAGTTTGTTTTGATGTTTCTAGCCTTTACTCTTTCTTCCCAATTTTTCTTTTTTCCTTTGTGTTACGTTGTAAAAAAGCTACCCACTAATGTTGCTAAGTTTTTTTTCCCTGTAATGTCACGACTTTGAATGGGGGTTGCGGAGTAGCAAAGTGATCAACTAATTTGACCTATGATGATTGGTCGTAGCTTTGGCTCAAATAGTGTTACTGAAGTCGTGGAATCAATGAAGCCCTTAATCTGTTTTTGTTAGAATCCTATGTTGTCACTACTGTCTGCTTGTGCTATCATTGGGAATCCACTAGAAAGAATTGTGGTTAGCCACTGGATTTTGAGTTATTCACAAAGAAATCAATGAAAACCTTGGCCGCCCCACTCTATCAATTGAACTAGATCACGAACTGTCAATGTTATATAAAAACTACATGAACAATTTGCTTTCGTTTGTGGGCGGAATGGTTGAAAATTGTCATTTATTAACTATGTTTTTTTCAGTTTCAACTCATGCATGGTGTCATGATCTTGATTCATCATCTATGTCTTACCTTTACCAGGTGGTTGTGGCAACACAGTCTCTCTGTTTACTTCTTCAAGTTACTATCAACCTAGTACTTGGTCTACTTTATTCTTTTCTACATGTTTATCTGTCTCATGCCACTATTTAATCCCGTATATGTTCTTCCATTAGCACTGATTTTTTTCCTTCTCATATTTTTATTATAAGCAATCTGTTCTGTGGTGAAAAAAGTACTAGTCATTTAAATTAGTCAAATTTTGTTTCCAATTCAACCCAGATGGCATAGTTGGTTAATTACAAAAGACCTCCTTGAAATTTGGATTATTTGCACATCACCACTTAATTATTATATGTTTCACTAGAATAAAGTGCAAATGTAACGGAATTTCTGAATTTTGACATTGTTTGGGCTGCATGTCCCAAAGAAGCGCATGAGATGTGAATGGGATGACTTTCAGTCACAAATAAGACAAGTTTGCCTTATTTAAAATTGTCCCAAAAATTTAAGTTTGTCTATATGTATGTATTTATGTGTGTATGTATGTATACACCCACACACATATTTAAAGAGAGATGGCATCTTATAAAATGCCTCTTTGTTGTTTTCCGGGTGCTTAACGTGCTGATCTCGGCTGGAAGGAAAGGAGCCTATCAAGTTATTTCGAGCCCAATCTAATGTACATGCAATGAAATTCAGTTCCCCTACTCAAATAAAACTCCAAGAAATGCATCAGTCTATAGTTTTAAAGTGATATGGCACAAATAAAAGCAAAACAAAAGTGACAAAGATCACATACTACGTTCCAGTATCTGCGCGCATACCTACCCCAATTGTCACTGAGCCTTACATCACCCTTAATCTCTTTTGCATGAGCCTGTGAACATCATGCAAAACATAACAAAATCAAGCTGTTAATTTTAAAACTACAGACCAAGAAACTACGACGTAAACTATTAACTGATTAATGATTATACCAATTCATTCCCGAAGTTTCAGACCAAGTTGATGATTTTTTGAGATATAGTAACATTTTGAATTCTACTTGCCTGTCTGATAATTTGTAGTGAACTGTGGGTGATTGTGGTGGAGTTTGATTGGTGTGTGAGTGGATGTTTTGTGGTAATGGAGCAAACAGTGGAGGGGGATTTGCAGGAGTGGAGCTATGGTTTTGGGGATGGGATTATGGTGGTTGGGAAAGAAGGTGTCATGATTTCATGTTTTTGGCCTAGTTGGCGTCACTAAGAAAGTTGAAACAAAAAGAGGTTATATATGTCTTTTTGTAGAAATTATTTCATCTGTTAGGATTTTCCCTTTCTTCACAAATAGGAGGTAGTTTAGTGAATTCCATAATAGTGGTATTTGCACTGTCTTTTTGTAAAAATAACTGTTTCCTCTGCCCTGATATTCCCTTTATGTCTTTGACGTTGAGTTGGTATTTGCACCTGAAAGCTTGAAGTCATTTTGAGAAGAGTGAATATGATATAGAGAAAGTGTTCATCATTGTAGCATATTAATAATTCTCATCGATTGTCGTTTTGCAGATATTTTTTCTTCAGGGGAGGTTTATTTTTGGACCAGATGTAAGATCTCTGGCGTTGACCATATTCCTTATTGTTGCCCCTGTCACAGTTTTCTGTGTCTTCGTTGCTAGAAAACTGATGGATGATTTTTCTTACCACTTGGGAATATCAATTATGGTTGCGGCGGTTGTATTCACTTTTTATGTAATCTCTATCTCTCTCTCTCTCTCTCTCTCTCTTTGTGTCACATGCACATAAATGAACAAGTTCTTACTACCTTCAATCCTTCTTTGAATATCTTGGAAGACTGGTTGATATTAGACACCCCTTTGAATAGTATATTGTTTTGGTTTGGTGCTTATAACACGGTATCCAGTCTTATACTAATTACTCTTTGGCATGGGGTGATGCAGACCCTTTTGTGTGCACATAATTCCTTTAAGAATTGGATGCTTAATTAGCAATAGACATTGTTCATAGGGTTCTTATGGCATGTTTATCTAATGCATTTGCTAACAATGATGCTTCCTCATTCATTATTTGGTTGAAACTAATTAGATATGGTTCAACAAACCGATAGTAATGACTGATAAGCTATTTGCTATCCTATTGTTTTTTATGATTTGAGTTAGGAGATGAGTTCAATAAGATGGTTCTTTTTGTCTAATGGAAACCAGTGGCTTTAGTGATGAGGGGTAATGTGGGTCCGATTAAAGGTGTTAGATGGACAAGATGAAGGCCTAAAGGAGCTAGGTTTGATATTATGAGAAATTGCATGATTACCTACAATGAACTAGAGCAACAAGTTAAACTTGCTATGTGTAATTGATGAACTGTATTTGGGAGTGATGATGTGCCACAATTCATTATGTGACATTGCACCGACTAAAGCCAATCTCCATTACAATGTTGGCCTTAACAGTTGACTGTATATTTTTTGCAACTGGTCGACTAGAATTTCACTGTGTACCATGAGGGACAAGTTTTGGTGCTGAAACTATTCTGATATTGGCATGCCCAATATGTCATTGATCTAGAGAGTAGAGTAGAGGTTTTGTTTTTGGGAGGAGCTTGTTTAGGTCTGGTGGCTGGTAATTATGATGAGTGGTTTTAATTTGTTCCATATTGGATGAGAGCTAATATTTTCTGGGAGGAGTATCTTTTAAGTTATGGCAGGAAGTGGTTGTGTGATATTGCGAGGACCTTAATAGTTGCTAATTTCCACAAGATATTGTAAAAGCTTTCTATTGTTTCTAGCTTGTTGACAAGAGAATCTAGCTTTCAAGGATAGATGTTAGGGGGTGGTTGTTTCTTGCTCATTAATTTCCTCATTTTTACTGCTTCTCCTTGGATAAGTAGGCCTGAAGACCTCAAATTTTTTATTTTTTATATTTTTGTTTTTTTTTGGGTGAATGTCTTTGGGTCCACTTTTGCCAAATTTTTACAGTTGGGTTGTCAACACTCCTTGAAGTACATTGGCATGACTTTTTTGTCCCAAAACCATGATGTCGAAAGGAGATTGGTCATTTAAGTCTCGGTGGTTATCAGTTTCTTTGGCTGCTTCATGAAGGTTGGTGACAGTATTTTCCTGTGAAACTATTTTTGTATTTTTCTGTCCAATCTAATTTACCTTTCTTTGTCTGATTCACTAACATTCTTTTTCTGGTGAAGGACTGATTCACTAACCTTGGTAAGATTTAAATAGAGGATTACCTGCTTAGAGGAGTGGGGCTGTTGGCCACGCTTAACTTGTGGACTTGTTTTCTTTTTTTCCAATTCATAGTGTAGTTTTCTATTCACCATGTCAATTATTTCTCGCTTAATGTTCATCATTGTCTGTATTGTTCACAAGTTTCTGGCTGTATTGGATGAACTGATCTGATCTGGAGGTTAATGCCACTAGTATCACCAGTACGTTTTTTGGGCTTTTGGTTAACTTTTTCAGGGGCTGCTGTGGCAGAATATCGTGGTGGGTCCATCATGGAATGGTTTCATTATAGAGAAACCAGCCTTGTAAATTTTGTTGAGTATTCCAAAATCGTACTTTGTTTCATTTTGTCAAGTCTGTTGTGTCACTCCTAGTGCCCCTTCCAACGTTAAGCGGCATAATGCTGAATCATGGCAGTGACCTGCACTGGTTGGCAACTGGCATGACATTGGAGGATAGATGTGCCAGTTGAGGGTGCCTTAAACAAGGAACTGCGTAGTACTTTATTTTTTGTCAGTATAAATGGGCAAACTTTTAGACTCGACTGAAGCACTAACAACCCATCTTGCACGCGTATCTGTCAAGGAAATAGTAATTTGAGATTTCTAAAGTTTTAAACTCTAGGCTAGTTGACATGTTGGGTTTCTCAGGTTTTAGTTCTTCTGCTGCTAACCTCTGGAAGAGATCCTGGGATCATTCCTCGTAATGCACATCCTCCGGAACCAGAAGGCTATGATGGAAGTGCAGACGGTGGTGGTCAAACCCCACAATTACGCCTGCCTCGTGTCAAGGAAGTAGAGGTTAATGGCATTACTGTGAAGATTAAGTATTGTGATACCTGCATGCTTTATAGACCTCCCCGCTGCTCACATTGTTCAATCTGCAATAACTGTGTTGAACGATTTGACCACCATTGCCCTTGGGTCGGGCAGTGCATTGGGCTGGTAAGATATGTATTTTCTTTACTATTTCTATGTTTATTATGTAGCATTACTGCTTCTTCTATGTGTTTTGTTGGTTGATTTTCATACACTTGCTTCTGTTCGGTGAACTATGAATTTGTTTTTTATTGAAGCTGTAACTGATGGGTGGAGCTTAATGAGCTTGAGCTTGTGGGAATTAATTTTCGTTTTGGGACTAGAAGAATTATTAATTGATAGAGAATAGACCTATTTTGAGACTGAAGAACATCCAAGGTTGTTCCTCATTTTACTCCCAATGCCTGGGCAATTAAAGTACTACTATACTGTTCCGTAGCTGGTCCAATCAGTTTATTCAGTTTCTGCATTAGCTTACCTAGAACGTGCACAAAAAAAAAAATGATCAAACTACAGCAAAAAAGCATAATATCTCAAAACAGTGCGCCAAGTTCCCAGAAATATCGGTTGTGGCTTTGTCAGCCAAACCTTCACTTACCAGTTACTACACTTTTCTCTAAGGCATGCAGTGCTAGCTCTCTGAAACATTTAATCATTACTGAAATTAAAAATCCAAAATTGTGAGTAGGATTTTCAAAAATTTTTTTTGGTCATCTAAATACTATACAATGTCTTTGCAACTTTAGTTTTCTTGTTAGAAGTTCTTACTACGATGTGCTTGGTTCCATAAATCTCTGTGCATGTGGTGAAGGGTCAATTGAAACCCTTGATTTTCATGAAAGAGTAACCTCAGATAACATGGCTGGCTGACAGCCTCTAAATATGAATTACTATCAGGCATTCACCATTTGGTTTGACAAATTTCAAGTTTCCAAAATTCAATCTACATTTAAGCCATTAAGTTCAGTTATATCTGTCATCAGGATAAACATTGTTTCTCCTTTTTTAATTTTTCATTAATTAATGGCTGACTGGCTTTATCATTGGTCTGGATGACAAATTATCTGAAACTATCATTGTGACACTTGACCTATTTCTCACTTAGTCAAGTCAAACTTTTATCTCATGGGCAAGAATTAGAGATTAGACAAGACCGAACGAACATCCACCAATATATTATCAATATTTTCTTCCTGATTTTGTTCACTAATCATCTTAGGCCTGGCAAAATTGGATCGTTGATCTGTATTTACTCTTGTAAATAGTAGGATTCCCTTATTTTTGGTTTGGAGAAAATTAATTCCCTATATATATATAGTCTCTAACAATTGTTGAATCTGTGACATTGTTTTAATCTGAACCTTTGACAATTTGGGTGCAGCGAAATTATCGATTCTTCTTCATGTTTGTCTTCTCGACGACTCTTCTTTGTGTATATGTTTTTAGTTTCTGCTGGATCTATATCGAGAGGATCATGGATTCAGAGGAAACAACAATATGGAAAGCAATGATCAAAACCCCTGCCTCCATTGTCCTAATAGTTTACACCTTCATATCAGTGTGGTTTGTTGGTGGTCTTACTGCCTTTCATCTATATCTCATCAGCACAAATCAGGTAAGAGCTCGAACTGTCTGATGTCTGAAGTATTTGGTGCCGTTGGTTCAAATTTTACAAATACTTGTTTTTTAGAGAAATAATTATATATTTTTTTTGTGAACAATAGGAATTCTTTCTGTGTTGTGTTTTTGCAGACCACATATGAGAATTTTAGATATCGATATGATCGAAGAGCAAACCCATATAACAAAGGAGTGGTGCAGAACTTTATGGAGATATTCTGCATCAGTATCCCTCCGTCGAAGAACAATTTCAGGACAAAGGTTCCAAGGGAACCTGAGTTACCAGCTCGGTCTGTTGGTGGGGGTTTTGTTAGTCCAAACATGGGCAAAGGTGTGGAGGACATAGAGATGGGCAGGAAAGCAGTATGGGGAGACATTGGGGTAGATCACCACGAAGAGCGACTTAGTGAGAATGATGGGTTGAACATTAAGGATGGTGGATTAGGTGAAATGTCCCCCGAGTTAAGGACGACTCAAGTTGAGGGGAATCGTGCTGGAATACATGCCAGGAGATCCAGTTGGGGAAGGAAAAGTGGGAGCTGGGAAATGTCTCCTGAAGTTCTTGCTTTGGCATCTAGAATGGGAGAAGCAAACCAAATGGGTGGGAGCAGTAGTAGTAGCAACTTGACAACCTCCCAACCCGCAGAACCTAAGTAAGTTGTAATGGGACAGAGAGGATTGAAAGAGAGATTTGATTTGGCCGTCTGAAGCGGGTTTTATTGAGGTCTGATGCGTGATGATTCAATTTACGTGTGCATTATGTGGGTTGGTCTTGCTTTGACAGGGTTGATTTTGTCATTATGCTGCTTTAGGAAGGAGTGGTGCGATGTTCTGCGCGAGAGTTGCNAGCAAACCAAATGGGTGGGAGCAGTAGTAGTAGCAACTTGACAACCTCCCAACCCACAGAACCTAAGTAAGTTGTAATGGGACAGAGAGGATTGAAAGAGAGATTTGATTTGGGCGTCTGAAGCGGGTTTTATTGAGGTCTGATGCGTGATGATTCAATTTACGTGTGCGTTATGTGGGTTGGTCTTGCTTTGACAGGGTTGATTTTGTCATTATGCTGCTTTAGGAAGGAGTGGTGCGATGTTCTGCGCGAGAGTTGCTTTCTTCAGCTATGATTTTGTATTTAATACGTGGAATTAGTTAGAGTCTACTAATTGTTCTCCTTCCCCTCCTTTGAGCGATAACGTTGCTTATATATATATATATATATATGCATGCACCTAATGATATGCTGTTCATAATACTGAAGCCCCAACCCATATTCTGATCATGCGGAAAGTGCATGCATCCCTGCAGCCAGACAAGTTGATATCATGCGAATTTTCATGTTCTTGTATTTTGCCTTTTTATTTGCTTGCTGTGGCAAATAAAAAGTGCTATGTGACAGTTAATTTGCCCAGTCACAATTTGCTCAAAGTCAAGCAAACAGCCCAACTCGGTCGAAGTTTGGGGTTATGCTGCTATGCATTGTAATGTCTACCAACAAGCTGAAAAAAGTCATTATGTGAGCATTGCTCAACAGGCTTTAAAATTGACTTGTTGAATTTCTAGCGGAGAGAAGTATTGAATTTAAACGATTTTTTATTTTATCCAAGCTGATATCCATAGTCTGCCAAGCCAACAAGTTTATCGAATTAATATGGATCAATATGTGATTGTTAGTTTTAGNCAGACTCTATTCATAGTCTGCCAAGCCAACAAGTTTATCGAATTAATATGGATCAATATGTGATTGTTAGTTTTAGGACAGCATCATATTGCCAAGTAATCTGAATTGATGTAGTGGATGGAAGGTCCTAGCCTAGCCTAGCCTAGCCAGTCAGTTTGTGAAGAAGGCCCATCCANATTGTTAGTTTTAGGACAGCATCATATTGCCAAGTAATCTGAATTGATGTAGTGGATGGAAGGTCCTAGCCTAGCCTAGCCTAGCCAGTCAGTTTGTGAAGAAGGCCCATCCATCCTACAAAACTTGTCCAGTCCAGACAACCTGTGTTTTCCTTGCCCTTTTGCATTCAGCTACACAATTACTTCTTGTGTTTTTTTTTTTGGCCCAAGACTAGATGTAAAAGTGACAAGTCACGAGGGAGGGAGGGAGGGTTTATCTATTATTATTATTATTATTTGGTGGGTAAAATAAATTAATGTTCACACTTTATTGACCAGAACACTTTCTGTCTATCTATCTATTGCAAGGCCAATAAATAGTGTAATAGTAGTAGTGGAAGTAGTCCTCACTTTTCTCACAGCGTATTGTCACTTTCAAGGACACACGACAAAGTCCAAGACAGTAGTTGCCATCTCTCCTTTGAGGATTCGAAATTTACAATTCAACCTTCTGTTNCGTATTGTCACTTTCAAGGACACACGACAAAGTCCAAGACAGTAGTTGCCATCTCCTCTCCTTTGAGGATTCGAAATTTACAATTCAACCTTCTGTTTAAACTAGTGTTATTAGAATCAAATCGAATCGATCGATCGGACCGGTTCAATCGTGAACCGGGATCTTAATCGGTCCGATTCCTTAGTTGAACCGCTTAAGAAAGCGAATCTGCTAAAAATTGAAAAATCGGCCGATTTTTAACAAAAGTCGATTTTTAAAAATTAAATNTCCTTTGAGGATTCGAAATTTACAATTCAACCTTCTGTTTAAACTAGTGTTATTAGAATCAAATCAAATCGATCGATCGGACCGGTTCAATCGTGAACCGGGATCTTAATCGGTCCGATTCCTTAGTTGAACCGCTTAAGAAAGCGAATCGGCTAAAAATTGAAAAATCGGCCGATTTTTAACAAAAGTCGATTTTTAAAAATTAAATTACATAAATAAATTTTTTGCCCTAAATTAATAAATAATTTGATTTTTTTTAACCTTATTCTTGAAAAAATTATAAATGACACCCTTTTTTTTTATTTTTTATAATTTACTTGAACCTCTTTACTTTGCTTTAAAATACAATAACTCCAATTTTGTTACTTAATTTTATGACAAATTTTATGTATTTTATATTTTTTAGCTAAATTATTAAGTTTTATAATTTTTATATATATATTTTTATTATATGACCGGTCTGACTAGTTGACCCAACAGTTAAACCAGTGAACCATTGATCCGATCCGTTTGTCAGTTTAATGACCGGTCCGATTCTGATAACACCGGTTAAAACACTTATTTGGATTGAGATGTTTGTTGTGTTCTGTTCTCTTTAACAACAACTGTCCAGACTTACATTGTTAAAAAAATAGAGAAAAACGTGGGGGAGGGGTGGTTGTCAACTGTATTAACAGGGCTTAAGGTACACTATTTTGTATTTTATTTTATTTTTACCAGTAAAGCATATTTTTAACCCATATATTAGTCAAATAAAATTAATAATTAATTGTATTGTGGTAAAAACCTTCTATTCTTAGAAAAATAAATAGGTGTATGTTGTCTGAAAATTTTATTAGATACTTAATAAGAAGCACGCTAAATAATTTTTAAATAATTACTGAAAATCAGTTACTTTATAATTTGTATTAATTTCTGACCAAAAAAAAAAAGAAAAAGAAAAAATCATTTGTATTGATTTAGTATGTAAAATTTAATTAAAATTATTGGGGGTAATAATAACATTGATGCGTGTTAGATAAGGGATGATGTTACACTGTCACGTGATATGAATGTTTAACCCTCTTTGCTTCTTGACTGGGCTGCCACAGGCACAGTTTTTGACTTTTTGGCCGCGTCCTTTTATGTCTCATAACAGTCCTTGAAACGTTCGTCAAACTAAAGCAATTCCTAGTCAAGGAAGGAGTTCGAGTCCGAATAGGAATTGGACTTCCTTCTCTCTCTAGTCTACTCTCTATATCTATCTATCTATCTATATATCTATACTATATATAAAGTAACGCAACGCCAATCATTTCCTTCAAGACAGTCCACAAGGTCTCCAAGCACCCTTCAAGCCATTTCTCTCTCCCTCTCTCATATTCGATTCATTTCTCTTATCCGAAGACAAGATGGGTTGTTGTTTCTCTTCATGGATCTGTTAGCTTAGCTTAACCCAACTCAACTCAACTCAACTCAACGTGGTTGAGACTCGATCGAGACACAGACAAAGCTGTAGAGGGAGATTCGACATTTCCGGAAATGGAGATGTCAAACTCTTTTAGATATATTGGAGGGATGAAATTGCCGATTGGGTTTCGATTCCATCCTACTGATGAAGAGCTGGTGGTTCACTACTTGAACCGCAAGGTCTGTTCTTTGCCATTGCCTGCCTCAGTCATTCCTGAGTTGGATGTTTACCAGACCAATCCCTGGGACTTGCCAGGTTAGTTCATGCTCATCTTTAGAGTTTAAACTTATTTTGTTTTTCCAGATTTGTTATTGAAAATATAAATAAGAAGCATTTCATGCTTACCTTCATTGAATTTAGTGGCATAATATGTGTATATGAGCTAGCATCAATGTCGTCAAACATATATATGGGGTTAATTTTATTTCCCTTAGTTGATGACCACGCATATAATAAGTTTGCATCAAATCCGATTCTTATTCATCTTCTTCTTCTCGTTGTTCCTTATTCTTTTCTGCTGGGGAATTAAGGTGATTCGGAGGAGAAGATGTATTTCTTCAGCAAAAGAAGAGGGAATGTGAAAAGATGCGGCACCACTACTTTCATTAGTGGTTCTGGGTATTGGAAGGCGATTGGCAAAGACAAGCAAATTTTAACCCCCGGAAGCAGCCAACCGGTTGGGATTAAGAAATCGCTTGTATTCTACCAATTGGGGATAGGGAGGCGCCCTCGCTGCCCTCGTCCTCGTGGGTTTAAAACTCGTTGGGTCATGCATGAGTATTGCCTTGTGGGATCTGGAACCACCCCCCACTACTCTACCCAGGTGTATATATATATATATATAGATATTGCCAGTTCAGACTCCATTTACTTCCCATAATTTCTATGTTCTATTTGTCTAATTAATGGTTTTGTTCCTTAATTCTGTGTGTACTTAGAAATTGATGATGCAAATGGGAGATTGGGTTGTCTGTCGCATATATCAGAAGAAAAGAAAAGCCAAAAAAGATGGGGTCAAAACTCAGTACTGGAACGGCAGTATGAATACGGCGGACATGCTAATTAGGCCCAGTAATAGTATTATTGATTTGTTGATGGAAGACAGCACTGATGAGTTAGGCCCGCCTCAGCCTTCCGCATCATGGTCAAGTGGGATCACTGAGGTCTCTTCTGATCATGATGATCAATTAGATGATGAGGAATCAAGCAGTGCTGCTATACGTTAGTTTTTTTTTCTCGTACGTTCGTGTTATTGTATGATGGAGAGATAGGGTTCAAAGCAGCCCCCATTTGAAGTTGTTGTATGCGAGAAATTATTACTTACGCAACATTTTTTGTGAGACCATTAAGTTTACCTTATGAAGATCAAGACTGCATTTTATCCTCTCAAATAATTTTTTCTGTCATATTCCAACTCGGACAGACTTTCACTAGATATTTTTTTTTTAATTATGCCAAACAAATATATGGTATCTGGTTAGTTATTATTAGTCCTTGTCTGCTTGCTTTTTTTCAATCTCTCTTGCCTTTTTCAAATTGGAAAGAATCATGGTGAGAAAAGAAAAGAGGCATCACTGAGTGTTGCCTAATATCTGGACCTTTTTTTTTTTTTTTTTTAATTTATAAAAAAGGCAAATACTTTTTTGAGAGAAAGATCACGCAAAGATACACAAAAAAGGAGAGGCATCCAAAGAATTGAGAGAGAGAGAGAGAGAGAGAGAGAGAACCGCATACATATGAGTTGTTATCTGATGAGAATTTTTGGTTAAAAGAGATCCCCAAGCATAAGAACATGGGCAAGAAAGCGATGGTGGCAAGTAAGCATCGGCACATCACATGTGATGGGGGGTCATAGGCATCTTTCAAATCAGAAAGAAATAAACAAGAGTACAACTTCTTTTCCCCTAATAAATAGGTTCCGTGGGTGGAAACTTTTGATCCACTAAATCTCACTTTTCAAACTGTAATAATTGGTCGAACCAAAGATAGAAAAAAGGGTCCTCATCTGTCTCCAATTGCGTAGCGTGCCCCAACTCTGCATAATTTATAAGCTTAAAATGGTTAATCCATGTGTATGATGTTGTTGGGTTCTCCTCCTAATTAAAGAATGCCATTGCTTGTGTTGGTACAGAGAACAAGGTAGGTTGTTCTTAAAAACTTGCAGACTTGGATACCTTCCTGACCAAAAAATTAAAAATAGTGCAAACCCTCATGGGGTTTGAGAATAAGATTCGCTATGTCTGCCACGAAGGGCAGACATCCAATGCTTAAGAATCGACAAATCCATGTTCCACCTCCCAAAACAAGTAAATTAATGAATACCCTAAATCTATTAAAAAGGAATTGTTCAAAACATGGTCACCTTAGATTCATTTTTGTAATAGCTCATAAATCAAAGATATCAATTAAGTTCATGCGATAGTCAAATTTTTAACGTCTAAATTCATGTTCTAGTCTACACTGTTGTTGGGTCAAGTTTATAGGTTATAAGTTGCTAAAATATGGTTAAAGAAATATGTTCATAAAAAGAAAAAAGAATAATTTCAACCAACTCTCTATGTTCTTTTTTTTAATTAGTCAAACAATAAAAAACTCTCAAACTTACTTTCGATTTCTCATTTCACCCAAATGACTCTTCAAATGTGAAAAATCATTTAATCTCTTTAAATTTTCTCCATATCTCTTTCTCTATATATATGTTACAATCCTCTTTAAATTTTTAGAAATTAGTAAAAGTTAGGTAAAATAATTAGTTAAAACAGATAGCGTGATTAGAGTGAACTTATAAAAATAATTTTTTAAAATAAGAAATGTAATATTTAAATAAATTTTAAAAAATAAAAAATAAATTGAATTGGAGTTACTGTAAGACGGGTGAGCTAGAGACATCAAACATCTGTACCACGTTCAGTGCGCGAATAAAGGACGGCATACAGAAAATGTGCAGGAGACTAATAAGAGGAGTAGGACTCTGCGGTGATGAGAGATTCAAATGAAATAATTAAGGAGGAGTTAGGTCTGGTCAACCTGCCATGGCAGAGTGGGAAAGGGCAATACAGTCCACAACGAAGGAAGATAAAGCAGCGTAGCTGATGTGCTTGCTTGTGACAGGGGTTTTGGAATCATCGATGATAATAATAATAATGCTATTTAGAATTCAATAGACTACGACCGGAGAGGTACTGGTGTAGACGATCCGGATTGGATTGGATCGGATTGTGGCGTAAATTGCTGACTTTACTGCCGCAGTTTTTGTCAGTCAAGTAGGCCTATGGCTATGTGGTAGGCCCATAAAAGAACTCAAGAGAATAACAACTTACAGCTACCTGAATGAAAAATATTATTTAGACTTTATTTAGTAATTTTATTTAAAAAAATTTTGATGCATAATTATTAGATTGATTATTTATGAGTCCTATTTAATATTAAAATTTATAATTAATTTAATATTTGTATTGAAATCATATCATTAATTTCTAAAATAAAATTTTTAAATAAAATCAATATAACATTGCTGCCATTAAAAATGACGATGGATGTAAGAGTTGGATTGACAAACTGCGTTTTTTGTAATGTCGTCTCCCGACCAAATTGAGTTGTGAGGGAGGGTTGCTGTCAAACAAAGAGGGTTGCTTGCTAACTAAACTATGCAACCACGAACAATATCCCTTTCCACAAAGAGAACAATAAACACACTTAATTATGTCCGACCGAGAATGCATGTGAACTAACATGGTGTGGGGACGATCGAATTGGTTCCGTGTGTGTGTGTGTGTTGTGGGGGGGAAGCTTTAAGCTTTGTTATACTTAGACAGAGCATATTTGACCATCTCCCCCACCAAAACCCCCAAGTCTTTATTTATGTTTCTTCCTTTTCGGGGATGTCAGGGGGAAGAAAAATCTTGCTACAGATCTGAAACAAAGTGTTTCCTGTATGACTGATAACCTCTTCTCATGGAATAAGTATTCTCGTGCATAACTGGGAACTAGATTTGGTGGATCTAGAACTTCTATTTCCTCTTTCGTGGGAAGCTTCAGCAGCAAAGGAGGTGAATGTGGGAATAAATCACATTATCTGTCCTTTCTCCCTGCAACTTTAGAACTAAAGAGTGAGGGTGGCTAGCCCCTTTGTCATCAATGCCATAGTGGATGTAAAATATTNGCTTCAATCATATCTAAATCTTAAAATTTTAAGGGCCCTTTTGGTATCGCAATACATGATTACTTCCACAATAATAGGTTCAAACCACATTTGTGAAAATTACATATATAGATATGATAAAACATGATATATGATTATCACCATATTAAAAAAACATAGAAATATACATGTTACTTTAAGGTTGATGTCAACTCATGAAAAAAGAAGATCAAAAGCCTTCATAACAACAAACCCAACTACCCAAGCCTGACCCTAGAAAATTTTGAAGCCAGCCCAATATGTAATTGTTTGGGTTTTGTTGTTTCCGGGATTATAAGCTCCACCCTTTTTCTCACCATACAGAATAGCCATAAGTTGGAGGTTAATAATGTATCAAACAATATGATTTTCAGTGACTGTATGCAGTGATGTCATCTCAGTGAATATGTCTAACAATGGTGGTTATAAGTTTACTAGTTATTGTCTTTGTTTAAAGGTATGAAGTAGTAAAAAAAATAGTTAACAATAAATATATTTATATGCATACTCAAAATCAAATCACAAACATAAATGAGAGAGAAATGAATTTAAGCATTGACTATAGTACGAGTAAGCGATGACAATGGTGGGTGGAAAATACTGATACTAATGGTTATGATGGGCGGTTATGATTGCAATGATGGTGGCAACCGTGTGTACAATGGTGATGATGGATTTTTAGCAACGATGGTAATAGTGGCAGTTATGAGTGACGACGGTGGTAGTGATAGGCGACAGTGATGGTAGATGACAGTGATGGTGATGGTGATGGTGATGGTGATGACTAGTGTTTCTAAGCGATAATGGTGATGATAGTAGATATGATGGGAGGTGGGTGGTAGTGAGTGGCAATGGTTGGTGGGGGTAAGGGTGGGTGACGACGATTGTGGGCAAGGACAAGTGATGGTGGGTACGGACGGTGGGCATTGGTGATAGCAATTGGTGATGAATGCACTATTGTGGTGGTGACGATGGGGCAGTGAAGGTAGGGTGGGGCTAGTAGGGGTGGCAGTGGGGTAGTGGACCTGGTGGTGGCAGGGTGGCCATCTTGTATCTTGGATGATGCAAGTGTAAAATCTTGGTCCCTTCCCCTTAAGATTGAAATCCCTGGTCCGCCTCTCATTCTCACTCTTTGTTAATGAAATACTTATATTGAACCAAGGATAAAATGGTCATCTTGTATCTTGGATGATGCAAGTGTAAAATCTTGGTCCATCCCTCTCTCTTTTATCTGTTTGAGTAATTCATAATTTATATCCTTAAATTATGCAAATAATTTTTTATTTGTTCTCAGAAGTTTCAATTCAATTATTTTATGTAGATGTCATAAAACTTGCCTATACCAAAAAATATATCTCACGTTCTATCTTCTTCTTCTTCTTCTTTTTGGGTTTGTTATCCTTTTTTTTTTTTTTTTCAAAATCAAATGAAATAAGGAAGGTTTTCTAACCTAGGAGTAAAAATTTACAAGCAGACAAATATAACCCTTTACTCGAGTCAAGTGTTGGTCACGCATTTTCATTCCATCAGGTGACCAACATATGATGCTGAAATTAGAGTTTGTTTGCTAGGGTTGCCCTCTTAATTGCTTGAGTTAGTTGTACCGAAGATCCTCAAAGTATAGAATTTATTTTATTTTAATTATAATATTTCAATTGTATTATTTTAGTCCTTGAAATATTAAATATGTTTTATTGTAATCTCTCAAACAAACAATATCCAAATNGAGATTCTCAAAGTATATAATTTATTTTATTTTAATTATAATATTTCAATTGTATTATTTTAGTCCTTGAAATATNAAGATCCTCAAAGTATAGAATTTATTTTATTTTAATTATAATATTTCAATTGTATTATTTTAGTCCTTGAAATATTAAATATGTTTTATTGTAATCTCTCAAACAAACAATATCCAAATTACTAACGGTTTTTATTATAAATTTATCACGTGATATTTAAATATGGGTAAAAAAAAATAATTTGGATAGCTTAATTTTGACAAAAAAATGTGTAGTATGAGTAGTTTTTTTATCAAAATTTAGATAACTCATATCAAATCTGTATAATTTGGATAACACTTTAACCAAAATTTGGATAAAAATTTGATCAAGAATTATTCAAATTATTTTTTTACTCATATTTAAATATTAGGTGCTACATTTATAATAGACCANATATGAATAACTATTGATCAAAATTTAGATAACTCATATCAAATCTGTATAATTTGGATAACACTTTAACCAANGTATGAGTAGTTTTTTTATCAAAATTTAGATAACTCATATCAAATCTGTATAATTTGGATAACACTTTAACCAAAATTTGGATAAAAATTTGATCAAGAATTATTCAAATTATTTTTTTACTCATATTTAAATATTAGGTGCTACATTTATAATAGACCACATAAAAATATATTTAATATCTTAAAGACTAAATAACTAAAATTAGACAAACTTTTACTTTGAGATAATTAATCCTCAACTTTAATTTACTCTTTTATTTTTTTTTTTCCAATTTAGTTCCTCACTAATCGGGCTCTTCGGAGTCTTCATTTCATTCCCCTCTCTCGAAATAAACACTCATACTTCCATATTTTTCCGAATTATTTGACATGAAACCTGTGGAAAAGCTGCGAAACTTCGCACTTCACAAAAGCGATGCGAAGGAGAAGAAAGAACATCAACCTTCAGCGCATTTGGATGGGGTTGCTCAGGTGGCTTATTGTGTTGTTATCTCCGACGACTACTGTGTTCTAATTGGAAAGGTAAACACATGCGAAAAAGTGAATCTGAACATTAGATTAGAGTTTTTCATTCGTGTTTTTTGCGACTAATTTGTTTGCTTTAGAATTCGCATTCTGGTGTGCTTTTCCCGGTAAATTATGTAAAATATTGTGGCAAAACTGAATTGATTAATAATTATGCGACGCAAAGCTCAAAATTGCATTACATTTGCAGTAATTTTTCAAGGACCTTTAAAAATTGAGTTATACTGATAAGTTGTTTCTGTCTAAAGGATTGTGAAAATCGTAAAGCAATCTCTCTTGCTAAAATATATGAAAGAATGTGATGTTTTATCTACGTGTCACCATTCACTCCTTGATCCTGCTGTTTGAAGAAGCACTCTTGTCCATAACACTAATGCTTTCGGAAACACAATGAGGCTACAGAAGTTAAAAGATAATAGCGAATGCACACTCATTACCACCTTAGTATTTTCAACTTTTCCATGTGCCAACTGTGGCTTCAGCTTTTTTGTTTTTTTTGTTTTTATTTTTGCCTAACCAAAATTTTCAGGTATTAACCTCGTTAACACATTGTGNACCTGTGGCGATAGCCTCATACACTAGGCCATCTTTTATATGTGCCAACTGTGGCTTCAGCTTTTTTGTTTTTATTTTTTTATTTTTGCCTAACCAAAATTTTCAGGTATTAACCTCGTTAACACATTGTGAANCAACTGTGGCTTCAGCTTTTTTGTTTTTTTTGTTTTTATTTTTGCCTAACCAAAATTTTCAGGTATTAACCTCGTTAACACATTGTGAAAATGTGCAGATATGAGCCATATTGCTATGATTTACTGTTCTATGGAAAGTTGTTTGAGGTATTGTTACTCAAATTCATACCCATGCCTCACAAATGCCATTATACCAAGGCACTATACTTCTAGTCCCCTCTATTCTAAAATACAAGTTCAATTTTTTTAATTTATGTTTATACCTAGTCTACCCTTCTAGTACCCTCCATTAAGGGAGACAAAACATTTTTCCCCGATGAAATCAGAAGATCACGTGATGATNGACAAATGCCATTATACCAAGGCACTATACTTCTAGTCCCCTCTATTCTAAAATACAAGTTCAATTTTTTAAATTTATGTTTATACCTAGTCTACCCTTCTAGTACCCTCCATTAAGGGAGACAAAACATTTTTCCCCGATGAAATCAGAAGATCACGTGATGATATGAGTAGTAGTCAATATAGATGTAACTAATGTAAAATTTCTTGATAAGTCTGTAACCTAATAGGACTTATCCATCTTACAACATTTATGATTAATAATCTTAAGTCGAATATGAAGAATTAGGTCCCATTTTTGTCTTGTTTAACTGTTTTGACATTTTAGCAAATTAATCTTCCATTTGTATCTTCTGTCAGCATTTTCAGAGTCACTGCACGAAACGGGGACCTGTTTACTAGAAGCAACTGCACTGCATGTTGATGGAGAAAGTGGTATGTGAATTAACTTTCATTGGCTTGATAGTTGCCTGGGTTATTGCTTGGCACATAAATANCTGTTTTGACATTTTAGCAAATTAATCTTCCATTTGTATCTTCTGTCAGCATTTTCGAGTCACTGCACGAAACGGGGACCTGTTTACTAGAAACAACTGCACTGCATGTTGATGGAGAAAGTGGTACGTGAATTAACTTTCATTGGCTTGATAGTTGCCTGGGTTATTGCTTGGCACATAAATAGTGGCAGTGACTTCGTTTGTTTGATTTTTCTTGGCTCTGATTCGAAGAAAGAAATTGTAAATTTTAACCAAAAGAGAAAAGAGTAAATAAAAATACCCAAATGGCATCTTCATTTTTACACATGGGTGTTGGTGATTATAACCTTGCAGTCATATGTTCAGTTTCAGACTCTTCACCGATATAATGTTCTCACATCCCTTGCAACAATGGTTGTTTTTGCAGTTAGATCAGGTGGATGCTCCATTTCCTCGAGCTTCAAAGTCAGAGGATGCAGTGGTGATAAAACAGCATTCCTTTTGAATTGTCATTGAAACTTAATTTTTCAGTTTTGAAGGAAGTAATTTGTCATGTAACCATCATTTATGAGATAATCAAATTACATTTTCTTCAATCTTTAGGATTGTTAAGTTTCTCCAAAACAATCTTGAAATGGGTTGGCATTGTTATAGAACCATGGTTATTTTTTCTACTTGTCCATAACTTATGAAATTATGATTTCGTCTATTCTTTGAGGTTGCAAGTGTCAACTATTTTGTGGCTTCTACAATTATTATTACACTCTGTTTTCTGCAGATAAATCTTGGCAGAAACCAGGGGGAAGGTTCTCAGGCAGCAGTGTCGGGTGGGCAGCCATTCTTCTCCAGTATTTGCATTTTGCAGAGAAGTTTAATTTGATCCGGCTGAAAGGACAAGAGAAATGCGACCATCCACGACGAAGTTTCACACATGTGCTACCTACTCCAGCTGATGCAAAACGTCCAAATTCAAGAATAAACACTGCTGTCATCCAATCAAATCCTACTAGCCTTGGTGGAAGCAGCCGGAATTTATGGAATTCATCCCCACTGGACACTGATATGCCTGAGAAAAATTTTATGGATGATAACTTGTCAGTACCCACTAAAAATCACAGTTGATTGCCAAAGAGAGCAACAATAACCACCTCTCTGTCGGACTACCCCTTCTTTTGGCCGATGCACCTTCCCTCGCAGACTGTGATGTTATAGTGCTTTTGATAGAAAGTCAGAAGACAGGCATTTTCTGATCCATTAGCAAGTAAACCATGGTCCACCAAACCTTCTTTATCTACCAGTGGCCCCATTACCACAACTGGTTTTCCCCAACTGGTTTCTGGATTGATTGCTAGAGAACAATTCCTCAGTATTCTTCATCTCCAATTTTACCTCGCAGTGCTTCACCTCCGCTTGTATCTTCTCTCAAAATAAGTGACCTTCATGAGCTCTCCAGGCCCCCTGGCAGTTCAGCATTCAAGCCAGCAAGTTCTTCTGGGGTGATTGGGAACTCTGCCCCATTGTTCTTCAGAAATCAAGATGTTTTTTCCAACAAATAAAAGCCATCACGGGTGTCAAATGCATCATCTTCACTTCCTCCTCCTCCTCCATTAATTTTTCAGCACAGTTTCTCCATACCCAGTAGCAATTGCAATGGCTAATGCGTGTCTAACATATTGGAAACCCCTCGAATTCCAGACATGGCTAGAGAAGTAGCTTCACCTCCAATGGTGCCTATTCCCTTTCAAACATGAAGTCATTATCAGCTATTTCAAAAGTAACCTCGGACCCTCTGCAGATCAGAGGTAATTTAGATACAGTATCTAGTTATCTTCACTTGCAATTATTCCTTATATAATGGATAATGGATAATGGATAGTGGAAGGCTCCTTTACAATTGTTGACATTCATGAGAACCACTGGGTCATTAGGAATGCAAAACCATAGTTTGGCTGGTGCTGTTGTGATCCCACATGCAGCATGGACTTTAGTGTTTCATGTGGCTTATATTTAAATTAGTTATAACTCGTGTCTGTCTGAAGGTACGATAAAACATAAAATTCGAGTATCTAAAAAATCAATCCCACTATATTAATAATATCCGAGCAAAATATGGTGATGCAGAAGAAACTATGTTGCATATTTTGTCAACATTAATATCCATTGCTGTGCAGCCCTTTCCTTTTTTTTTTTTTTTTTTTTTGGTTCACTTCACGGAGTCATCACGGCCCAAGAGGATTGTCACGTTGGCCCAATCCATTCTGTAAGCTGTCATGGGATGGTTGGCCCACATTAAAGTGAGGGTGCCTTATATTTGGGTCTTTGCAAATTATGGCACCTTTCCCTTCCAAACCTTTTAAGTGGGAGGCCAATTAATTGTTTAAACGATAAACTGCCTGTATAATGTAATACTACCACCAACTGTCTTATTGGCATATTTTCTCTCCGCCTTGCAAGTGTAGAGGTCAGGACGCTTGTTTATTTAATTGAAATACGTTTGGTTTGATTTACTTTACTTGAAAGAATATAAAAATAATTTAATCTTTAATCGAACAGTAAAATTATAGATGTGAATATAACAAATCTATGGAAAAAAAGATTATGTGACCATAAGGAATGGTTGTATTATTGGTATGGTCATTGGAAGCCGTTCGTTCGGTAAGCTTGGTTGGTGTGGCTTGGCTTGGCTTATAAACTACCTTTTCTCTCAATTAAACAAAACCATTTTTTTACCAAGAATCCAAAACTTTTTTAAAAAATTAGGGCCCTAAGTTTATTTCTACCAATTTAATGGCCTTTTCTAAAAGAGAGACAAAAATCTTTCTATTAACCACTATTCTTTTAATTTTTAGGGGTGATTTAATAATTAAACTTGATATTTGATAATTCTGATTTTTCAATGTAATTTATTTTCATACTCTTTAAGGGTCAATTACTCTTATTTCTCAAGGACGTATTTTAATTTAACTCAAGTCAGGGTGACAACCACTAAACTTTGAAAGAATAATCGATATAAAACTGAACAATGCATAGTTAACAAAAAATACACTATNCTTATTTCTCAAGGACGTATTTTAATTTAACTCAAGTCAGGGTGACAACCACTAAACTTTGAAAGAATAATCGATATAAAACTGAACAATGCATAGTTAACAAAAAATACACTATCCTTATTTCTTTCTTTTATTTATTTATTTTTGGCTATTTACAGCCTGAAAATTCCGGTTCAAAACGGTGATGACGCTGGTCGTATGGGCCAAAAACCCAACAAAGGTTATAAATTCAAAGTGGGCAGATATCTAGAGAGAGAGAGNCGGGGGAGAGGACGCTTTTGCCGATGGTGCTTGAACCCGAGCAACATTGTTCTAGTAACCCCCGAGGACACGTGTCTTCATCATAGGCTTTTCAGAAGAGTCCCATCAATCACCATATTAAAAAAACATAGAAATATACATGTTACTTTAAGGTTGATGTCAACTCATGAAAAAAGAAGATCAAAAGCTTTCATAACAACAAACCCAACTACCCAAGCCTGACCCTAGAAAATTTTGAAGCCAGCCCAATATGTAATTGTTTGGGTTTTGTTGTTTCCGGGATTATAAGCTCCACCTTTTTTCTCACCATACAGAATAGCCATAAGTTGGAGGTTAATAATGTATCAAACAATATGATTTTCAGTGACTGTATGCAGTGATATCATCTCAGTGAATATGTCTAACAATGGTGGTTATAAGTTTACTAGTTATTGTCTTTGTTTAAAGGTATGGAGTAGTAAAAAAAATAGTTAACAATAAATATATTTATATGCATACTCAAAATCAAATCACAAATATAAAGGAGAGAGAAATGAATTTAAGCACCGACTATAGTACGAGTAAGTGATGACAATGGTGGGTGGAAAATACTGATACTAATGGTTATGATGGGCGGTTATGATTGCAATGATGGTGGCAACCGTGTGTACAATGGTGATGATGGATTTTTAGCAACGATGGTAATAGTGGCAGTTATGAGTGACGACGGTGGTAGTGATAGGCGACAGTGATGGTAGATGACAGTGATGGTGATGGTGATGACTAGTGTTTCTAAGCGATAATGGTAATGATAGTAGATATGATGGGAGGTGGGTGGTAGTGAGTGGCAATGGTTGGTGGGGGTAAGGGTGGGTGACGACAAGTGATGGTGGGTACGGACGGTGGGCATTGGTGATAGCAATTGGTGATGAATGCACTATTGTGGTGGTGACGATGGGGCAGTGAAGGTAGGGTGGGGCTAGTAGGGGTGGCAGTGGGGTAGTGGACCTGGTGGTGGCAGGGTGGCCATCTTGTATCTTGGATGATGCAAGTGTAAAATCTTGGTCCCTTCCCCTTAAGATTGAAATCCCTGGTCCGCCTCTCATTCTCACTCTTTGTTAATGAAATACTTATATTGAACCAAGGATAAAATGGTCATCTTGTATCTTGGATGATGCAAGTGTAAAATCTTGGTCCATCCCTCTCTCTTTTATCTGTTTGAGTAATTCATAATTTATATCCTTAAATTATGCAAATAATTTTTTATTTGTTCTCAGAAGTTTCAATTCAATTATTTTATGTAGATGTCATAAAACTTGCCTATACCAAAAAATATATCTCACGTTCTATCTTCTTCTTCTTCTTCTTTTTGGGTTTGTTATCCTTTTTTTTTTTTTTTTCAAAATCAAATGAAATAAGGAAGGTTTTCTAACCTAGGAGTAAAAATTTACAAGCAGACAAATATAACCCTTTACTCGAGTCAAGTGTTGGTCACGCATTTTCATTCCATCAGGTGACCAACATATGATGCTGAAATTAGAGTTTGTTTGCTAGGGTTGCCCTCTTAATTGCTTGAGTTAGTTGTACCGGAGATTCTCAAAGTATATAATTTATTTTATTTTAATTATAATATTTCAATTGTATTATTTTAGTCCTTGAAATATTAAATATGTTTTATTGTAATCTCTCAAACAAACAATATCCAAATTACTAACGGTTTTTATTATAAATTTATCACGTGATATTTAAATATGGGTAAAAAAAAATAATTTGGATAGCTTAATTTTGACAAAAAAATGTGTAATATGAATAACTATTGATCAAAATTTAGATAACTCATATCAAATCTGTATAATTTGGATAACACTTTAACCAAAATTTGGATAAAAATTTGATCAAGAATTATTCAAATTATTTTTTTACTCATATTTAAATATTAGGTGCTACATTTATAATAGACCACATAAAAATATATTTAATATCTTAAAGACTAAATAACTAAAATTAGACAAACTTTTACTTTGAGATAATTAATCCTCAACTTTAATTTACTCTTTTATTTTTTTTTTTCCAATTTAGTTCCTCACTAATCGGGCTCTTCGGAGTCTTCATTTCATTCCCCTCTCTCGAAATAAACACTCATACTTCCATATTTTTCCGAATTATTTGACATGAAACCTGTGGAAAAGCTGCGAAACTTCGCACTTCACAAAAGCGATGCGAAGGAGAAGAAAGAACATCAACCTTCAGCGCATTTGGATGGGGTTGCTCAGGTGGCTTATTGTGTTGTTATCTCCGACGACTACTGTGTTCTAATTGGAAAGGTAAACACATGCGAAAAAGTGAATCTGAACATTAGATTAGAGTTTTTCATTCGTGTTTTTTGCGACTAATTTGTTTGCTTTAGAATTCGCATTCTGGTGTGCTTTTCCCGGTAAATTATGTAAAATATTGTGGCAAAACTGAATTGATTAATAATTATGCGACGCAAAGCTCAAAATTGCATTACATTTGCAGTAATTTTTCAAGGACCTTTAAAAATTGAGTTATACTGATAAGTTGTTTCTGTCTAAAGGATTGTGAAAATCGTAAAGCAATCTCTCTTGCTAAAATATATGAAAGAATGTGATGTTTTATCTACGTGTCACCATTCACTCCTTGATCCTGCTGTTTGAAGAAGCACTCTTGTCCATAACACTAATGCTTTCGGAAACACAATGAGGCTACAGAAGTTAAAAGATAATAGCGAATGCACACTCATTACCACCTTAGTATTTTCAACTTTTCCATGTGCCAACTGTGGCTTCAGCTTTTTTGTTTTTTTTGTTTTTATTTTTGCCTAACCAAAATTTTCAGGTATTAACCTCGTTAACACATTGTGAAAATGTGCAGATATGAGCCATATTGCTATGATTTACTGTTCTATGGAAAGTTGTTTGAGGTATTGTTACTCAAATTCATACCCATGCCTCACAAATGCCATTATACCAAGGCACTATACTTCTAGTCCCCTCTATTCTAAAATACAAGTTCAATTTTTTTAATTTATGTTTATACCTAGTCTACCCTTCTAGTACCCTCCATTAAGGGAGACAAAACATTTTTCCCCGATGAAATCAGAAGATCACGTGATGATATGAGTAGTAGTCAATATAGATGTAACTAATGTAAAATTTCTTGATAAGTCTGTAACCTAATAGGACTTATCCATCTTACAACATTTATGATTAATAATCTTAAGTCGAATATGAAGAATTAGGTCCCATTTTTGTCTTGTTTAACTGTTTTGACATTTTAGCAAATTAATCTTCCATTTGTATCTTCTGTCAGCATTTTCGAGTCACTGCACGAAACGGGGACCTGTTTACTAGAAACAACTGCACTGCATGTTGATGGAGAAAGTGGTACGTGAATTAACTTTCATTGGCTTGATAGTTGCCTGGGTTATTGCTTGGCACATAAATAGTGGCAGTGACTTCGTTTGTTTGATTTTTCTTGGCTCTGATTCGAAGAAAGAAATTGTAAATTTTAACCAAAAGAGAAAAGAGTAAATAAAAATACCCAAATGGCATCTTCATTTTTACACATGGGTGTTGGTGATTATAACCTTGCAGTCATATGTTCAGTTTCAGACTCTTCACCGATATAATGTTCTCACATCCCTTGCAACAATGGTTGTTTTTGCAGTTAGATCAGGTGGATGCTCCATTTCCTCGAGCTTCAAAGTCAGAGGATGCAGTGGTGATAAAACAGCATTCCTTTTGAATTGTCATTGAAACTTAATTTTTCAGTTTTGAAGGAAGTAATTTGTCATGTAACCATCATTTATGAGATAATCAAATTACATTTTCTTCAATCTTTAGGATTGTTAAGTTTCTCCAAAACAATCTTGAAATGGGTTGGCATTGTTATAGAACCATGGTTATTTTTTCTACTTGTCCATAACTTATGAAATTATGATTTCGTCTATTCTTTGAGGTTGCAAGTGTCAACTATTTTGTGGCTTCTACAATTATTATTACACTCTGTTTTCTGCAGATAAATCTTGGCAGAAACCAGGGGGAAGGTTCTCAGGCAGCAGTGTCGGGTGGGCAGCCATTCTTCTCCAGTATTTGCATTTTGCAGAGAAGTTTAATTTGATCCGGCTGAAAGGACAAGAGAAATGCGACCATCCACGACGAAGTTTCACACATGTGCTACCTACTCCAGCTGATGCAAAACGTCCAAATTCAAGAATAAACACTGCTGTCATCCAATCAAATCCTACTAGCCTTGGTGGAAGCAGCCGGAATTTATGGAATTCATCCCCACTGGACACTGATATGCCTGAGAAAAATTTTATGGATGATAACTTGTCAGTACCCACTAAAAATCACAGTTGATTGCCAAAGAGAGCAACAATAACCACCTCTCTGTCGGACTACCCCTTCTTTTGGCCGATGCACCTTCCCTCGCAGACTGTGATGTTATAGTGCTTTTGATAGAAAGTCAGAAGACAGGCATTTTCTGATCCATTAGCAAGTAAACCATGGTCCACCAAACCTTCTTTATCTACCAGTGGCCCCATTACCACAACTGAATTTCCCCAACTGGTTTCTGGATTGATTGCTAGAGAACAATTCCTCAGTATTCTTCATCTCCAATTTTACCTCGCAGTGCTTCACCTCCGCTTGTATCTTCTCTCAAAATAAGTGACCTTCATGAGCTCTCCAGGCCCCCTGGCAGTTCAGCATTCAAGCCAGCAAGTTCTTCTGGGGTGATTGGGAACTCTGCCCCATTGTTCTTCAGAAATCAAGATGTTTTTTCCAACAAATAAAAGCCATCACGGGTGTCAAATGCATCATCTTCACTTCCTCCTCCTCCATTAATTTTTCAGCACAGTTTCTCCATACCCAGTAGCAATTGCAATGGCTAATGTGTGTCTAACATATTGGAAACCCCTCGAATTCCAGACATGGCTAGAGAAGTAGCTTCACCTCCAATGGTGCCTATTCCCTTTCAAACATGAAGTCATTATCAGCTATTTCAAAAGTAACCTCGGACCCTCTGCAGATCAGAGGTAATTTAGATACAGTATCTAGTTATCTTCACTTGCAATTATTCCTTATATAATGGATAATGGATAATGGATAGTGGAAGGCTCCTTTACAATTGTTGACATTCATGAGAACCACTGGGTCATTAGGAATGCAAAACCATAGTTTGGCTGGTGCTGTTGTGATCCCACATGCAGCATGGACTTTAGTGTTTCATGTGGCTTATATTTAAACTAGTCATAACTCGTGTCTGTCTGAAGGTACGATGAAACATAAAATTCGAGTGTCTAAAAAATCAATCCCACTATATTAATAATATCCGAGCAAAATATGGTGATGCACAAGAAACTATGTTGCATATTTTGTCAACATTAATATCCATTGCTGTGCAGCCCTTTCTCCTTTTTTTTTTTTTTTTGTGGTTCACTTCACGGAGTCATCACGGCCCAAGAGGATTGTCAAGTTGGCCCAATATTTGTTACCACCATTCTATAAGCTGTCATGGGATGGTTGGCCCACATTAAAGTGAGTACTTGAAAGAATATAAAAATAATTTAATCTTTAATCGAACAGTAAAATTATAGATGTGAATATAACAAATCTATGGAAAAAAAAAAAAAAGCATGGGTTAAAGATTATGTGACCATAAGGAATGGTTGTATTATTGGTATGTTCATTGGAAGCCGTTCGTTCGGTAAGCTTGGTTGGTGTGGCTTGGCTTGGCTTGGCTTATAAAGTACCTTTTCTCTCAATTAAACAAAACCATTTTTTTACCAAGAATCCAAAACTTTTTTAAAAAATTAGGGCCCTAAGTTTATCTGAGAAAAGCTCCTTCATAGGAGGCTTGCATGCCGCCGGCAAACAAATTATTTCTACCAATTTAATGGCCTTTTCTAAAAGAGAGACAAAAATCTTTCTATTAACCACTATTCTTTTAATTTTTAGGGGTGATTTAATAATTAAACTTGATATTTGATAATTCTGATTTTTCAATGTAATTTATTTTCATACTCTTTAAGGGTCAATTACTTTTATTTCTCAAGGACATATTTTAATTTAACTCAAGTCAGGGTGACAACCACTAAACTTTGAAAGAATAATCGATATAAAACTGAACAGTCCATAGTTAACAAAAAATACACTATCCTTATTTCTTTCTTTTATTTATTTATTTATGGCTATTTACAGCCTGAAAATTCCGGTTCAAAACGGTGATGACGCTGGTCGTATGGGTCAAAAACCCAACAAAGGTTATAAATTCAAAGTGGGCAGATATCTAGAGAGAGAGAGAGAGCGCGCATGGGCCTTCGAAGAACCGCAAGGAAAACACCACCACCTCCATTTTCCACGAGACGCAAACGAAGAAAATAATCTTAATTTATTAGTATATCTGTTTTTCATTTTTTTTTAAAAGAAAAATTACTACGAATTCAACTTTCGATTCATCAACATCTATATATATTTCACATACCTTTTAGCATGGAAGATCATCACCAGCACCGAACATGACTTCATTCACCGATCACTGGTGCGTGTCAATGTGGAAGCTCCGATCGTTCTCCAACCTTTTCTTTCCTTGTGTTTTCATTGCGTTAATGCTGGTGAATTAGATTTTCCGATGGATCGTGCGTTTGTGCTCTTTTTTTTTTTTTTGAAGTGGTTGCTTGATGGTAGATGATGAACCATGAGATTTTGGAGGTTTTTGGTTTAATATATATACATATGATACTCTCCATTTGTTGGTGAATGTGTGCCGTACAAGTAACCTATTCCTTTGTCCCGAGTGTTATCCTTGTTACTTGGCCCTCGATTGTTTGCAGAATTGCTTTGGATTGTTGTCGTGTGTGGTTTACATTGTTGATAGGGGGAACCTTTGTAATGCTCATCGGTTAATTTAATTTGTGTGCGTGTGATCTGGTTGCTGCCCTGGTTTGTTTAGTTTTTTCTCTAAACAAAACGCATTTATGGCATTGGATTGATGTATTCAGAATGAGAACTATTGGGTTTATCCTATTTTTCTCACTAGAATTTATCGCCAGGTTGATAGTTTATTTTTCTTTTCTGATTCATTGTTTTTATACAGCTCTCATCTCTTTTATTTGTTATTTAGTTCAAAACATGTGTGTTTTGATTACTAACCAATTTCGGATCTAGTCCATGCTTCATACAAATTAAATTGACCAATTAATGCTGGTTTGCATTTTAAGTGCACGAAGTGATTTAGTCCAATGAGGGCAAGTCCCGATTTCCAATCGATGGCAAGGATAATGTGAACAGTCCATACATATATATATATACACAGATGCACATACAAACCCACATATTATGTTGACATATACTTAACCACTCCTATAAATGCTTACAACTCAGAATAGCTTATATCCATCTTGAATTTTATTTCAGGCATATGCATTGTTGCGGTTGAAACTTGAAAGCTATGAATTCTAGTTGTATTGTTGCTTGCTGGTGTGGAGGTCTTAAGATGTGCTTTCTCCATTATTCTTGGATCTTTAGCATATGTATGAGTAAATCAATGCATTCTTGGAAGGAAGTCATGGTAGTTGAGATGCCAATGCCTTTTCTCGACACTTAGTATTAGCCTCTGTGCCAGATTGGGAATTTCTTTTGATTCTAATATTCTGAAATTTGAATGCATTTGGACTTTGACCGATTAAATTATAGTGATTGAAATGGCCAGCTTGGGTTCCAATGACGAGCTTGGAAACACTTGGTAGAGATATGAGTGCACAACAATAGGAGAGTAGAATATTAGAAGAAATTGGTCAGGTCTTTTAAGTAAACCCAATAAAGATTAAATTCTGCAAAGTTTAGTGATGGGATTACCACAAATTTCATCCCGCAGAACTTCTGAGGAGGATTCAGGTTCATTGAGCACATTTGTGCAAAGTCTTCCTCGATCTTCTGGTATGAGCACTTGTGATTTGGATGAAATGCAAGTTGGGAGTTTGAGAACAAGGGATTCAGTATGCTCTTCCTTAGGAGACTTTCAGAGGAAAACCTCATTGGAGCTCTCCAAGTCCCCTGACATTTTGTTTCATAAAAGGACCATAAATGTTACAACAAATGATCATGATCCTACACTTGGGTCTAAGGATAATAAGGTTGAGTTGTTAATTTCTAAAGCTGGGCGGAATATTCAGAAACCTGTTTCCAGGATTTTGGGTTTTGAATCTGGTAGAAAGGGTGAATTCGTTGATGGAATTGTTGGAGTTTCAANTGGAGCTCTCCAAGTCCCCTGACATTTTGTTTCATAAAAGGACCATAAATGTTACAACAAATGATCATGATCCTACACTTGGGTTTAAGGATAATAAGGTTGAGTTGTTAACTTCTAAAGCTGGGCGGAATATTCAGAAACCTGTTTCCAGGATTGTGGGTTTTGAATCTGGTAGAAAGGGTGAATTCGTTGATGGAATTGTTGGAGTTTCAACCAATCATGTTCGTCCTTCCATGATTGGTATGTCCATTAATGAATCTGAGTCCAGAAGATTGCTTGTCAGGAAGCGATTATTGTCACCATTGAATGGTATGTTTTTTCCTGACCAATTCAGTGGTGATCCTTTGAATATTGGCTGCAGCAGTTTCAGCATTAGTTCTCAGGCCACAAGTGATGATTATAGTGTTTCCATGGTGCAAGATTATAAGAAAGCAAATATTGGAAGCAAAAATCATTTCACTACACCAATTTCATCTGTATCTCATTGCTCAGAATATGGCATGCTATATGGTTACAGTAGAACAGCTTCCATTTTCTGCACTGATGGGCCTTTACTGGAGGACAAGGAACTATTACCTCATACTTGTTTATCTTCCCCTAGACTTGGTCCCTTGAGAGAATCAAGTAAGTCAAGAACCCAAGATGGTTCAATGCCAATCCCTGCACGAAAGGTGATCTTGCCCTCTCTTTCTTTGTCTCCCCTTGGTCCAAGATTTTCTGAAAAGATGAAGTCTGCAAGAGAATCCAGGAAAGTCTGGAGGGAGACAGAGGGCGGTTATCTAACCTTCAAAAATGTGCAGCAGTCACTTGATGAAAATATCTCAGGCATTATCTTTGCCTCTGAAGAAGAGGATTTTAGGATAACTAGCAAATCTTTAGATGATATAGATTTTCTACACAAAGAAATTGAATCTTCTTCCCCAGAAAATAACACTGGAAAGTGTTGGCCTTTCTGTCTGGGTTTGGCAAATGCCCCCCATTGCATGAAGCTGGGTAAAAGTTTGAGGGGACTTCCAATTAGGAGGTCTTTGGTTGGTTCATTTGAGGAATCTCTATTGTCTGGTCGGCTGTCGTCTGGAAAACTCAGTCAGGTTAATTTTTATGTTACATAACCTAGGTAGTTTTCTTGTGTAGTGTTATTGTTCTCATTTTTAAATTTTACCTCGAGAAAGATATTCAACTTGAGGTTCTCTCTAATGGCCATATTTCGTTGTTAATTTCTGCAGAGAATTGACGGTTTTCTAGCTGTTCTAAACATAACTGGAGGGAGCTTTTCACCTAAATCTCAGAAGCTTCCATTTGCAGTGACGAGTGTTGATGGAGATAGCTATTTACTATACTATGCATCCATCGATCTTGCAGGAAATCCTCCATCTAACAAATGCAGTAGCCAAAATTTGAAAAGAGGCCTTATCAATCATGATTCACAAAGTGCCAAAAGCCGTTTGCGTATTCCTGTGAAAGGGCGCATACAATTGGTATTATTTTTTGTCCCCTAGTTGTGGTTACAAATGATTTGGGTACATCTGATGTATTCTAGAGTGGCTCAGATTGAATAAATTGAGCTGAAATACAAATTTGAATCATGATATAGTTATTTTGCTCCCTCATAAGATGGTCCTGGTAGGGTATGTCAATATATGCAGTTGGCGTTGTGGCTGACCTAGTTTTTGCCTTGTTTTTTTTCTGCTTGTTAATGTCTCCTGCTATTTTTGTCTAATTTTATTTTGCAATTGCATTTAGGAGCAGAACAGCATTGCTAATGCCAATGAGATATTTTTTATTTCCCTATTTTCTTCTTGGCATGCATTACATTACATGATTCTGAACTCTTGTTTCATTTTCTTGAGAGGGCTTTGCATGTACTTTTACTCCAATCTTGGTTTCACCATGATATGCTGCCACAAACATGTGGGTTTGGTTTTGATATGGATGGTTGTTGGATACAACTCCTTAGGATCTAGACACCAGAATGCAGCTACTTTTATTTGTTTTTTTGTGATATACTATCTTGTGTACTTTTTTTCTTGTATTTACCTTGATATGTGTATAAGAACACTGGGACAGTTGAATCATGTCAGAAGTTGATAATTCTACAAAAATTTCCTCAATTTGAAGNATATTTGTTTTTTTGTGATATACTATCTTGTGTACTTTTTTTCTTGTATTTACCTTGATATGTGTATAAGAACACTTGGACAGTTGAATCATGTCAGAAGTTGATAATTCTACAAAAATTTCCTCAATTTGAAGGCATCTTATTTTGTTTTGTTACTGTATGAACAGCTGTATTAATTTATATATATGCATGTTGCTTGTTGTTTTTGTTGCTTTGGGGATGGGGGTGTAGATGAAAAGGGGAGGGGGAGGGGGTGGGGAAAAAAGAATGAGAAGTGGCCCCTTGGCCAACTCCGTGTTCCCTTTGGAACTCTTAAGACACGAGTTATCTAGACACACATTTTCATGCTTTTGTGTCTCAAGACAAATGTTGGAAATGAGTGGACAAGGGTATCCTGTTGATGTCGTACATGGCGATTTGCATCAGGTTGAACTGTCATGAAGTTTTACGGCTTTATTTTCGTTTTAATGGCATGACATCTTGTGGATGTGATGAAATAATTGGCTTTTATTTACTATCAAACTGGATTTATGTGCACACAGGTCTTGAGCAACCCGGAGAAGACACCTCTTCACACTTTCTTTTGTAATTATGATCTGAGTGACATGCCAGCTGGTACTAAGGTAAGATAAATCAAATCTGGGTGGCCTTTTAAAGTTGTAAGCATGTCAGAAACACTTCTACAAACTTTGTGGCCTTTAAGTTTTGTTGTTAGAACAATATCTGTAATATGCTGTTCCGAGGTTGCTTATTATAGGAATTGTCAATCCCATCTAAAGGCCCGTCTTACCTGAAGACTGGTATACATTAGGCTCATACTTAGGTATTGAGATTATAGATACCCCATGTGTTTCTCCAATTGGGGTCGCAAGACCCCAAACAGGGTTAGTTTGTGATCTGGATCAGTTGGACAGGGTTAGTTTGCGATCCGGATTGCCCAAAATACTGACCCCAAATTGTAACTTAAACCCCTAATCAAACCACAATTTAGGTAGCCCAAATTATAAACCTAACCCCAAGTTCTTTATTTTGGTGATCTTTAAACTTATCATAATACAAATCTGCAACCACTAGCTTTGATTATTTAGAATTACTAGCCAATATGTTGACTTGGACTATGGTTCTCTTTGGAACACTTATCAAAAAAATAAAATTAATATTAGGAAATTATGGGTGTAGGTATATAATTATATGACATTTCATATACTAGTGAAAAGAGATCTGGATAAGAACCATAAAAGCAAACTTTGACCCAAAATAGTATACCAACTACGCATACCTGCATTGCACTGTTCACCAAAAAATTATTATACCTTGTATTGTACTAAGTACCAAATTAACCATCTACCTTTACACGTACCTGGGATCCACGGACCAAATCAACCCACTATGCTAGTTGACGTGCACCACATATCAAATCATTCCATGTACTTTTGCTTCTTCAACTACTTCTCCTTCAAATACAAGGGTAAAATGTCCCAAATTTTTTTTCTCTCTCCTATTGTGTATGGAAGTAAATGTGTGATGAGAGAAACCCTAATCTCATCAAAACATTGTTTGTGAAGATGAAGGAAATGTATGGAAGTAAATTTGTGATGAGAGAAACCTTAATCTCATCAAAACATTGTCTGAGAAGATGAAGGAAAACAATATACGGGCTGAGGCAATGGCTAGTTTTCAGACACAAATCTGTCATGTGGACGACTGGTTGGTACAAGCCCACTACACTTGGTCAATCAGTCAACTCCAAGCTTGATTTGTTCTGTGAATTTCCATGTTGTCCAAAATAGGTGACCTATGTTTCAGGGAATATGACTACACCAATATATGTCCTAAATGATCTAGGATAATGTCCCTAAGAGTCCGGAGTCTTCAATCTTGATGCAGTCCACATTGCGAAGCTAAATTGGCTTGTTGAAGCTCCGAATCCTCCAGTAGTTTTGAGGCTTGCACTTGCTCTTCACTTTTGGTGCCTTGTTGGGTAACACTAACTAGAGATAAATACTTGTCATGAAATTGTCAATTGATGGTCCTAGACTTAACGGTACCTAACTAATTTGACCTCATTCTTGTTAGAATTTTTGGCTACATGATTGATGTGTTATTGCATTTTTTGCTTTCACTTTGCTTTCTCTCTGCCCCCACTACATGCAAAGGATTCTTTTTTTGCATTTGGCATCATCACATTGTTTTTCTTTATTTTAGTGTCAGCAGCTCAAATGTGAAAATGTTGGGAAAAATATTCACTGTGTTAGACTTGGATGGTTGAGACGGGCTGTTCTTTAGGAATACTAGGTCAAGTTATGTAAGTTTGTTGTATGAGGCAATATCAAGATCACCCTTAGTTTATGGCTTTATGGAGCTGTATTGTGGCCATCAAGAACCATAGGTTTAGCAAACTCCAGTTCAGCTAGATGATTGAAGGGCTGAAATGAATGAATTCTTGGATAACCCGAAGGGTAAATTAAACAAAAAAGATTGGCTAAAATTTTCTGGAATTGGGCACAAAGATGAATTACAGCACCATTGAAAATTGTTTCAGTTAAAAAAAAATGGAGAGCATGATTTCTCTTCTTTTGTCTAATATCTAAAATCTAAGCTAGAAGCAAAATGCAAAAGCTCTGCCAGAAGTAGCAGGAATGAATTGATGTCGAGTAGTTCAAGAGTAAGTTTGGATAAAAATTCAGATATTATGCAGCTTATAATCAGCGAGGTTTTTGAACTTTGCCTTTTGTAGAATATTATAGAAATTAAGGGCTCTAGTAGCTTGAAGTTGATTAAAAAAATTACGATTTGAATCTTGCTCTGGCATCTCATAATGTCGTAATGGCATCAAGGCTTCGACTTTGATGCATAGAATATTCCATTGTGCCTGTGAATGCTTGAACCTTATTATTCAGCTGCTAAGGAAAATCAAATGATAATTTTACTAAATTGATTCAGAATATTGATTTCTTATGATAATCTACGAAAACTTCTAAATATTATGTAAATCAGAAAGCTTTATCTTTTTTCCTAGGACTTTACAATGTGGAAAAATAGAGAATAGAGAATAAAGTAAAAAGAAGATAATTAGGGGGCTGTATTGAGAGAACATGATACATCATCAAGGATTCAGGCCGGTCAAGCTTTGCCAATTTGGTTGAGCACATTAAAAGGATTGTTTATAATTGCACATGATTGTTGTCTTTTCAGTACAACTTGCTATACTTTTTCCTTGTGGCAACAAGATTGTGGACCTGAAATTAGTTAACGAGTATTTTTTGCATCTTCTTCAAATCGAATTAGACATTCTTGCGTCAGAAGGTTACCTTAGCTTCTTCTGGCCCAACTCCTACACATGGGAGAGGAGAGCAGAAAAAATTTGACATGAAATATGAGGACAAGGCCACTCTCGTCCCAGAGAGAAGTCATGCTGACCAAATCGTGGATGGAGTAGAAGGCTCTGGATCCAACGCATGCCACATAACTGATGACAAGGGTTTCAGGTGGGTGGATTTATACTGTGAAAATGATAGGAAACCTGAATATTCTTTTTCAAAGTGTAATGGGTATACTACCAGTGTTGGTTCTCTACGTTATGCTCTTCACATTCGGTTTCTATGCCCTTCCCCTAAGAAATGCTCAAGGTCAACCCAGAGATGCAAATCAGAGCCTCTTTCTGCACCACAAAGCAATAGCTTAGATAATGGTGGGGGGCGGAGATTTTATTTATACAATGATCTGAAGGTGGTGTTCCCTCAACGTCATTCAGANGCCCAGAGATGCAAATCAGAGCCTCTTTCTGCACCACAAAGCAATAGCTTAGATAATGGTGGGGAGCGGAGATTTTATTTATACAATGATCTGAAGGTGGTGTTCCCTCAACGTCATTCAGATGCTGACGAAGGGAAGGTATGCTCCTTTAAGTTCATGTAAAATAAGGCTTTAGATTGCATTTTGACTTGATCTAGAAGTTCTTCCTCGATGCATGTGTTATGTATGGTGAGATTGTTAACTTTTAAATGCTGCAAATTTTGTTTCTTGATTTGCCCTTAGCAAGTATTATTTATGTAATTACTCCACCATCCTGGCTATAAAGTGTCTAAACTTGTCCTGTGCTCATTGTCACTAATTCCTGATCATTGGAGCTGGTAGATGAAAGCTTTGATTCCTTGAAACCATGCACCTACGGTGGGTTTTTGGTTGTTCACTTCTGAAGTACTTAAGCCTTTGTACCATCATTATCTGTGTTCTGGCTGCATGATACAAGGTCTTTAGACTTAATTTGCTGACCTTGTGGTTTGTACAGTGAATCAGCTGATTGAAATATGGTTAGATTTCCAGCTTTTGAGATTTTTATCTGAATCAGGATCATGTTTAGAAACTAATGAAATTCAACAAGAACCTTGCAGAAACTAAAAAATGACTTCCACACCTTCCCCTTGGAGGTTGGCAAACCACTCTTTTAAGTTATTTGCTAATGGTAATAGCATGGATAGCCCCTAAACCTTAGAAGGTGGCAAATAAAACTCTTAAAAACTAATTAAAATGTCTTGGCTTTGGAAGATGGAGTTAACTCGGTAGGTCTTTTATATGTTCTATAAGCATGCCTGACTTGAAGATTTGGTATAGATTAGGAAACTAGAATGTTACATCTTGGTTTCTACATGCCTAAGAATGAGTTATTGCTTTCCCATTGCAGTTGAACGTGGAATACCATTTCCCTGAAGATCCAAAGTACTTTGATATCAGTTGCTGAAATATCCACGAGGTTTTGCTGCTGTCTGTGTATATAAGTCTGTAGTATGATCGATCCTTTTGGGCGATTTTGTCTCGAAATGGCATCAACGCATTTTCACCCGTAAAGGCTATAAATTACGGACAATTTGAACTCTGCGCATTGTTGGAAATTCACAAGCTGATAGGTCACGTGTCAAAATTCATTTCCTTTGTTAAGATTTTTTTTTGGGGGTCACTCGTTCCTTTGTTAAGATTCTCGCCACCACTTTGATGTAGTATAATATAAGTTCTTGTTGTACAAAAAAACTGATGCTAGGCCAGATCGCAAGTGACACATGGAATGACCGGTAGGGAACTTAATGTTAGGGTCCTTCCTGATCATAGCTGTACTACTGAAATGTGTTTTTTGTGTGTGGGGTGTGTTTGAGAGAGAGAGAGAGAGACAGAGAGGCGTCTGGGTTATGCTTCGGATGTCCCAGTACAACCCAAACCCAGAAAAGGAAAGAAGAAAGTCACACACAATATCAGTATATATGATTTCGGCTTGTTCAATTTTTTGGCACATCTGGAGCACATAACCCGCGACTCTTTCTCTTCTTTGGGACCAAGTTTACTGGTGATTGGTTGATTCATCTGAGACTATTATTTCCTTCTTTTCTTGACCTGAGTTGAATATTTGAGCATCCTCTTTGAATCAAATTTTGTACATGATTTTTGAAAGTAATGTAATTTAGTTGAATGTCGCAATGAATTATGTCACTTGTAATATTTTTTTCCCTTTTTATCTTTTTCTGGAGGGATAACATATACCTCTGAAAGAGTTATGAACTTCTGACCAATTATCTTATTAAAGAGAGCATCTTCAACTCTAATTCAAATTTAGACTCATATTTAAATTTGAGTAAAAAAATATAAAAAATTTACTCCTACTCTTACTCAAACTTATACCAAATCAAGAGATTTTTTTTTTTTTTACTCAAATTGAGGGAGACTTAAATTCTTACCAAAATCTTTAATAGTGAGATTTTATCCTCTTTTAAAGATCCAATAGTCTTCTTTACTCTTATTTAATTTTGAGTTTGTCCTCATTTAAGTTTAAGTTTAAGTTTCTCCTTCTTTAAATTTGAGTGTATTCATTGGAGCTATTTGTATCAAATCAAGTTTTTTACTCAAATATTAACTTAAATTTGGGTAAAAATTTGAGCCATGATTGAAGATGCTCTTATGAATAAATCAAAAGAATACTATCGATACCGGTGTATCTTTTTTAATGGGTGGTTTAATGGCATATCTATAGGATCTTCTATTCTTTTCACATTATTATACACAATTGGAGATTTTCCTATTATTTGTGCAAAATCAACTTTCATGTATCCATCTTGGTCCTGGTAGTATGTGCCCAATGCATTATTCTAACCTCACCCTGTTCCAATCACTTATTTGTCTTGCTTTCTTGTTCGAACTCTCCTTGATTCAAGTTAGTAATATTGTTCCATTGGGCGTGCCAAAAATTGTTGGTCTCTACAAAGGATTTTTTCTGTGATTGATGGGGCTCAATCCCTTTATAGAGAGATCTCAAGTGACTGTTTGATATTATGTTCAATTGTCTTATCTCAAGATTTTCTTGGATAATTATAATCAATGGATTCAAAGTAAGCAAAATAACAAATAAAAAAGATTAACAAAAAGAACAACACTTTTCTTAATCTTGATGGTGTTTTGGGATACTACATACTGATTAAATAGTTTCTGAAACTAATTTTAAATTTTAAAGCTAGCATAAAAATATTTTTAAAATACCCAAGTCATGGGTGTTTGATAGATTTGATCACGTTTCTTCCCTACAACTTATGCCTCTTTTATAGGCATATTTTTCATCAATGGTTGCACTGACTTCTTCAGGAGGTTCTTTCCAATTTCTTTATTCTTTTTTTTTTTTTAACTGTTGCTTATCAAACTCCTAGAGCAATTGATGTTTTATCAAATTTTAAAACAACCGTTTCATTCTCTTAGCTGTATATTTATTTTTGATTAAATGAATGCCATGCCATGTGTGAATTCTCCTTGACTTTTAATCGTCTATTCACCAAAACTGTAAAATTTGGTCCAAACAGTTTGATATCATTCTCTGGCGATGACGTTCAGATTTTGTGACTTTCCATATGTCTCACTCCAAGCATTAATGGTAATTAATTATTTTGCCTAAATCCCAATAATGCCCTTGATTTTTGCTGAACCTGAATTGAAGTGCCGGGAACGGAACGGTAAGGTAATGGGAGTAATAGATTTAAATAGGAAGGGCCAAGAAGACTGCTACTGGCTACTGGCTACTGGCTACTGGCTACTGGCTACTGCTTTGGTAAGGATCGTGCAATACTGCTGTTTTGGGACTTCCTTACCTTACCTTAGCTCACCCACACAAAGCCATTAGTGACTTGTTGCAACTAGTTGATTCGATTAGGCCAGGGGCGTGCGTATATGAGTCAAGTCAACCAATACTAAATAAATTTAAATGAAGCAGGCAATAGGAATTAGTCAATATCAAAGTCAATCCTTAGTTTCAACTTAATAAAGTTGTGTCTAAACTAATAAAAAAAGACTAAATAAATCTTCTTTTTGCCATAAACAGTCAAATCCCTATTTTAATGGTACTTAAGGGGAAAAATAATTATATTTAATGTTTTTCTTTCTCAGTAGAATGAATCCTTATTTTAATTAAAGCGTCCTTTTATCCCTCTCTCTCTCTTTAATCAAAAGATTTGTTCATTAAGTGAGTGCTGATTCTCTCCTCTTTTCCGCCGCTGGTTTTTTTTTTTGCCTCTCATAGACTTCCGTCCCGGCAAAGGCCATTGTTTTTTTTAAATGGAGTGTGAGATTGCAAAACAGAAGACTTCTTTCACTATCCAAGTCGTAGCTTCATCACCCAAAATGTCAAGCCCAGCGTCGAGGAGAGGTTTCTTCATGGCTCAACTCACCCTCAGAGTTTTGGCCATTGGGTTTACGCTTTCTGCAATAGCTACAATGGTCACGAGTGCCCAGTCAATATCCATTTTTGGAATTGATATGCAAGCCCGTTACACCTACTCATCTGCATTCAGGTAATTATTATTATTATTTTTTAAATCTCGATCGCCAATACGAACAAAACAAAATCGAAAGAAATGCATTGAGACTGACCACCCCTTTCTGTGTTTGTTTTATTTTATTTTATTATATATATATAGGTTCAAAGTTGGGGCAGATGCTGTGGTATGCGCTTGCTCTTTTATGTCACTCATCCTTGTTTCTGCGTTGAACCATCCAAAATCAAACACCGGAAATTATTTCTATGCGCTTTTGCATGATATGGTAAGCAAAATTTATTGCTTCTTCATTACTGTTTCATTCCTAGAATAAAAAAAAAAAAAAAGAAGAGAAGAAAACTAGAAAAAATTAATGTTTTCTACCTATACTAAATATGGAGGAGTAAGTTGAACTCAAGTTGAATCTATGGTGGTGGGTAGGGGTGTTAATTGTGTCGGATTAANGAAGAGAAGGAAACTAGAAAAAATTAATGTTTTCTACCTATACTAAATATGGAGGAGTAAGTTGAATCAATGGTGGTGGGTAGGGGTGTTAATTGTGTCGGGTTAAACGGTTACGTGTTGGACTAAACGGGTGAAAAACGTATAAACTCATACACAACACGATACGTTTAATAAATGGATAAAAAATCTCAACAAGAACACGACCCGTTTAATAAACGGATAACACGACACGACTTCTTTAACCCGTTTAATTTTAAAAACATTATAATAACAAATTTTAATACTTCATTTTTTCTTACTACTAATTACACTTAGCTCAAAAAAGAGAAATTTTAAATCAAATCTCATAAAAATAAGACTTGAAGGCTTTAAAAAAAAAAACAAGAGACTATTACCTTTTATAGGTAACTCACTCTCCCCATCTCCTCTCATTTTCTAATATGAGGCAAAAACAAAATACATTTGCCTTTATCTTTGAAGTGTTTTACAACTTCTTTCATTTGTCTTTGAAAAATAAGACTTGAAGGCTTTAAAAATAAAAACAAGAGACTATTGTCTTTTATAGACAACTCAACCCTCCTCATCTCTCCTCATTTTTCAATGTGGAACAAAAACAAAATACATTTGTTTGTCTTTGCCTTTGAACTGCTTTTCAACTCTTCTTCTTTATCTTTGAACTACTACTTTACTTTTTTTTTTATTGATTTCTTTACTTCTTTTTTCTTGCTAATTTTTTAAAATAATTATTAATTTATTATTATATTAATTTTATTTAAACGGGTAAACGTGTGATAAACGGTTTGACAGGTCTTACCCGAACATGACCTGTGTTATTAAACGTGTTTGACGTGTCGACCCGTTTATCATTTAAATCCGTCGATTAATTGTGTCGTGTCGAATTTTGACAATGGTACTGTTTCGACAGGTGACGATGGTGTTGGCGATATCGGGATGTGCGGCCGCAACTGCGGTGGGTTACGTGGGTCGTTTTGGACAGAGCCAGACAGGTTGGATGGCCATTTGCGATCACATGGGTAAATTCTGTGGCAAAGTGATGCTTTCCCTTTTATTCTCTTACTTGGCCTTCTTTTCCCTCTTCACGCTTACAATCATGGCTGCATACAAGCTCAAGTCTCCGGCGGCCATGGAATGAAGGAGGACCAGGAGGGCTGCTCTGTTCTGTTTTCTAGGATTCTACATTCTGTACACACTCAATTTGCATGCAGGAAATCAGTATAAGAAAAGAATTATGTATGTAGGCATCAATACATATAATATCTTCTCTTGCTAATAATTACCTGTCATGATTTTGCATACTACTTCCAGAACTTGAAGCCCCTCTAAAAGATGGTTTAAATTCAAAAGGTTATTGATATATATAGCTTTATCCTATCCTGAGACTAGAACCTGAAAACAAATCAATGTTCATTCCTTCAAGGTGGAATAACCTCTTGCAATCCATGAAAGTAACTACCTAGGAAGTAGACTGAGAAGACAGAGATCAAGTTTCATCCCCACACAGTGACGACACAAATAGTTTCCATTGCTTTGTCAACATGGATCTTGCTCTTATGGTAAACTTCACTCATGGCAACCATCACATTGTTGTGATATATCTAATCCTCTTTCCAACTCCAATGTACATATCCATATTCTGATACCCCTTATCTACATGAATATAGGTTCCCCAAACGATGGACTAAGAAAACCATGGATGCAAAACACCCTAAAGTAAACATACTAATTCACATACCTATGAAATCTGTTTTCAATAAATACACCCTGGTTCTGGATATAGATGGGCTGTGCATAGTGGTGAGGCTTTAAAATAGAATAAAGTGGAGGTTTTTGAGATGCCACATAGTAAAACATGATACAAAACACTAACACCTGGTTATCTTGGAGGAGTATATGTTTGCTTGTATAAGAATGTACAATAGTCTCCGGGCATCATCATCCGCTGAAGTGTAAAACGGCAAATATAGAAATTCTTCGCCAATTACAAAATGACATAAAAGAGAAAGGTCGCACAGTGCTTCATTCAGGTATCATCTCCTCTTCACTGTCGTTAAGGTGCTCTTTCAGGGTTAGACCTGGCATCTCCCATTTTTTACTATCCCATGCTGAATCTATTTCAGGCAACTCATAGTCATCAGGTTTTAGTGACTGCTGAAATTCTGGAAGATCGGGTAAGATTTGGAGACCCCTGCATCATATTCCAAGTAAATATAATGAAATGTATCAAAGAGGCGATATCACAAGAATCAAGAAACAGCGGAAGCTTAGAAAGAGAGGGGATATCACAGAACAATGTTGAACTCCTTACTTGTCTTGGTCTATAAGGGAGCCATACATCTGAGACTTCCTAGATGCAGTTTCAGGAATTTTCCTATTTAAATGCTTCATAGCACCCTGGAGTGGAGGAGCCCTTAAGAAAAGAAATCAGGGAGTGATTAGAGGAATTAAGACAATGCGTTCAAATGTGACAGCACCATAATGGAAGGATTTCTTCGCATTGAACGTAACACATTCAAATCCAACCTGGTCACAGGAACTGCAAGGCAAAAGCTTAAACATGCCTTCTTGCTCTCTGCTAGTAGTTCGTCAGCAGCAAGGAAACAACACACAGCACTAACGTGGCTTGCTGGTTCGGTACCCTTGTCAAGTATTAGACCATGGAAATAATAAGCTGCAGCCTGACAATGATATAGGTTTATTACTATCTGGACAATGGAAAGTACATAATACAGGAAAAACAATACTGAGAGCAGTGAGAACCTTCGCTTCAAGGTACTTCCATTTGATGAACAACAGATGCTTCTTCCCATGTCCATTATTGTTGTTGTATCCGGACAAGCAGTAATGAGCCTGATAAAGGGAGAAAAGGACTATGCTTTTAGATACATGAGTACACTTCCATATCTAGGACATAGGCAATTGCTTTTCTAGCGAGTCTACTTCTAGAAACAAAACGAAAAGAAAATAAGGCAGTTTCAGTGGAATAACAACACGAAGCTTCGAGTTGAATTCCCAGAAGAAACAAATCAACAAATAAAAGAAAAGTACACGAGGGCAGCCTGCAAGGGAAGGGCTTAATCTTCTATCCTGTCTTTCTTTCGTTCCAACACAAAACCAAATCAAGCAGGAACAACCAATTGTTCCAATAAAATCCATCACATATACGGGTGTTCAAGTGAAAACACCAAAAGAAAATATAAAGAGAGTAGTTTTGAAAAATATAATTACTAATCATCTGAATGAGAGATGAATACAGGCATTGTTTGTATCATTTTCGTGATCTTTTAATGTTCCATAAATGGCCCATAAGACAAATGCATTTTTCAAAAGAATTTGTCTAAAATTGCAACTTCGCATCAGTCAGCTAGGTGTAATCAGGGAGATAATCTATCAGGAAAACCCCTTAGCCTGCAAAACCTAAATATGTTTACAGCCTTAGCAGTGATATTCCAGAAGGAAGGCCAATNTGCAACTTCGCATCAGTCAGCTAGGTGTAATCAGGGAGATAATCTATCAGGAAAACCCCTTAGCGTGCAAAACCTAAATATGTTTACAGCCTTAGCAGTGATATTCCAGAAGGAAGGCCAATTTAGTGAACCGCAATGTGTAATTCCTCTAATCATTATAGTGAAACAAATGTATGGGAGCTTTCCCATGTCAAAAGCATCCCACAAATGCTATATAAATCACGTGCCTGTATCCACCCATCCTTCTTCCTTCATGCACTTAACCAATCTGTAGCTGTACCATTTCTTTCCAACATATTCGACTCATCCTGTCAAACTTTGCAATCTCATGCAGAAACCTTGATTCTATTTTCAGATTGATATTTTAACGGATTTTAGTACCCAGAGACTTAGTTTATTAAGAAGAAGAAGACATTACCGAATACTGAACTACTACTTTTGCCTCTTCATGCACCAAATAACAAAACAAATAGATGCAGGAAGGAGCACTTCAACTGAGATTGGCCTCAAGGTCATCAAGAGAAACATGACATTCCAGACAAGGAAATTGGCAGTTATCAGCTTTCTAATAAGCCAACTTGATAAAACATATATAGCTTCTCAACCACTATTCACTTGAAAGTTGTCTAGAATTTACAAGTTGTAATGTTGCTTGCTCAGTGAATCACGAAATTAGCAGTGTAATCAAAACAATATTTGTCAAGGATAAGTGGAAACTACATGATTTTGTGCCTGCATTTTTGAAAAACAACATACCTGCCCAAAATAGCTCAACTGTTCACAAGCCAGCCTCCTTTTCACTGATAAAGTGGCATTTTGACTTCCAACGGCTAAACTGAGCTGCATTTCAGTTCCCTAGATTTGTCATCTAACAGAGTGTCAACATGTATTTGTGCCATTGATGCTTTGAAATAATCACTTTAGTATCATTTAGGTTGTAGAGGTAAATAAGATATAAGAATGATTGAAATACATTACTCGTATCACCATAGAATAGGTTGCTGAAAGTAGATCCATTCTCCTAGTTCCTCTTTTTTTTTTCTTTTGTTTTTTGAGCAAATGACATGATGCACGAGTAGTGGGGGATGGGAATGAAGTGGACATCGGCATACAAACCGTTTAACAACTACATGGACCTGGTGTCTTCCCATTCTTGTTCTTATTTCTTAATGTGTAGGCAACACTCTACATGCACAATGATTCCTCAACCACAATATATCTTATTGCTCTTACGTTAATTTTCTGTGAACAAGTTGAAAATACATAGTCATCTCCTCATTAGAAAATTGGGATGTGGCACATTATAATTCTCCGTGAGTGGTGTCATATATGAATCAGGTTTCTTAGAAAACCTAAACAAATGTGTACCTGCCCTAGTGCTTGAATGAAACTAGTCTCTAAGACATTCTCCTGCAAATCTTTCGGCAACCTATTCCTAATCACAAAAAGATGATTTTTAGAAATAGAGGCTAATAAGAATCCGAGCTAAAATAGCCAAAACTATATGAATATATGCTTACTTAATATCAGGTGGTATGTGAAGGAGAACCTCCCGGACACAAAATTCCAAGTAGCCAGCTGCCTTCAGCAATAAATCAACAGCATCCCTCATGCTTTCTGGCAGTACACTCGCTAAGAATTTCCGATCAGCCAAGGTTTCCATCAACAGGGTCAAATTGGATTCCAAAAAAGTCAAATATCTGAGAGAGACAAACCTGCAGATACAACTCTTTCAGAAGAACCAGCATGATTCGTAGGAATCAGTATTGAATTCGCCTCCGTCAATGTCAACATAGCCATCATGTGGAGAACAGAGAGCACTTCAAACCAGGAGTTTGCGACACAGGCTTCCTGATCATCAAATAACAGATCAAATTTATCCAAAATTTATATCATGACTAAATATTTTGCACAACAAACATTACTTTGTGGGATTCTTACTTGCCGTCCATCTTGTAAACTTCTCCACTTGAATTCCACTAATTCTTGAAGACCATGATCTGTTAATCCAGAATTACTCATTCTAATACATTGTTTAATATGAATACCTATGGATGTAGAGTGACAGAAAGAGTAAAACCTTTGGCAGTTAGGCCAACTAGAAGAGGCAAGTACTCCTCCAGTGCTCGTTGTAATTCGGGAATAGCAGACCCACCTGGAAAATCAAGAAGTTGTCGTGAGAAAAGTGTGTCATACGAGAACCAACGGAAAGAAAAACAAAAACAACGGGCTCACAACAAGACCAGACCAGTGTCCTCTGCCACTAACACGATCTGATTCCGAAGTGAACTTATTCTATCGGCAAGATCTGTCGGTATTAGGCGTCTAAGCGTCCTCTGAACATCACATTGCCCGGGAACACGCATTGAGGGGACAAAGATCGAAACTTCAGGAATATTCTTCTTCTTCTCCCTGCTTCCAACTGCGTGTACAGAATATGTGCAACCCATTGTTCTTGCAGTGCACTATTTTTGAAATATAACATCCTACATCGACATTGATATATAACAGAATTCTGTATTTTAGTCCAAAAGTAATTAATCACAAATTATACTACCTGTCAATCAAAATTGAATTGAAGCCCAAATAACTAAAAAGCCTATACAACTGAGGCAACGCTGTGTTGTGTATACAAACGCAGGAGCATATACAGAGAAAGTGGAGCAGAAAGAGGGGGGGGGTAATAATTGATGAGAACCCAAATATTGGTGGATCAGTATGGATAGTTAAAGCGAGCAGGTTCCGACTTAATCAAGAAAACCAATAAAATATAAATATTTGTGATTATGTGCAGATGGAAGTAGATATCAGCAGAATAAATGAGTATAATGTGGAAAAACTTACTGGTTTCTTGGAGGAGAGAGGAAGAAGAAGAAGAGTTGCGAAGCTTAGAGATGTTGATATAGCCGGGGGAGAGAGAGAGAGTAGCTTCTGGGAGTACGAAGCTCAGTGACCGAGAAATCAATCACATGGTGAATGCGTAGGAAGTCATAGTAATAGTACACATTAGTGCGCTATTATAGGTGTCTCAGCGATTATGGGGGGAATGAATGGAAATTTGGATCCGGAAAATTATTTGTTTATGAAAAGCTAAGTTTGACTTTCTTTAATGGAACGATGGCTTCGATCGTGAACTTCATAAGTAATTTAAGGGGGGTAACAGAGGCTAATTGCAATTGCATGAATGTCTTTTGTATATCTGAAATTCCTTGGTGAAGTCACACGCACACACATAATCAATTGGGTGAAGGACGGGGTGGATAGGAATTAGAAAAGGAAACGAGAACACAACCCTGGTGTAGTTGCAGCAAAAGCATCGACTGTATTGAATTTTGATGCTGCTTTTGGAATCGGCATAACTTATATAGTCCACGAAGAGCTTGAAGTAGAAGGATATATATAACTTATAAAAATGGGAGGGGAGAAATGATCTCATCCCTGCTGCTATTAGTGTTCCAGTGGTCAATCTTTTGCTTTAGTCAAATCCCATGTTGTAACTTATATCAGATTCGATCGCTCGCTCAATTTAAATGCTAAAACGATGTCAAACCATCTCCTTTCAAAATATGTACAATAAGGTTAGAGAAAATGTTAGAAAAAAGAGGTAAACAAAAAAAGTCAAACTATGCATGCAGTTGATTGAGGAGAAATATATGTGAATACTAAAACTAATCTAATCATCTAGGCTGAGCTAGCTTAAAAGCTCAATTTCTCAATTCACACAGGAGATTTCAATCAATCAACTTGGAGATCAGACAGACTAAGTTGTCACTCAATAAATCAGATTAGTCAAGATTTGAACCAACTTAACCCCTATTAAATGAAAACTCAGTTTACCTAAAACAGTTTATCCCACCATGAAGAAATTAAAGGATAGAAGGTAAATTGCGTTATCTCGGATCTCATCCGAGTCTATCTCTAGAATGCTACATTATCAGTTTTTAGAATGTCACGTCATACCTACAAAATGTAATTTTTAACAGCTAAATATTCCATCTCAATCTTGACAAACTAGGGGACCACCTCGTAATTACTTAAGAACTACGCTACCCTAGTGTATAAATAGACAAACTCTTGCCTTGCTCAAACAATGTACAATTGTATTCTCAAAGCTATGAATAAAAATTATAATCAACTTGTATTAAAAAAAAAAAAAGTTTTTTTGGGTGTAGGTACATTTTTTTAGATTTATTTGAGAGGAAGTGTATGAATAAGTATTTTACGATATTAAGTTCAATTTTAATAAAACATCTTGTGATTAGATATAAAATTCAAATGACATTTAAAATTTTTTACTTGCTTACCCTTCTTTAAATTATGCATAGTTATTATTATTTCTCTCTCTATCTCTCCTTCCCTCTCTCTCCATTACTCTCTCACTTTCTCTTCCCTATTTTTTTTCTCTATCTCTCTTTCCATTACTCTCTCTATTTTCTCTCTCTCATTGATAATTTATTTTATTTTCAAATCTATATAATAAAGTAGCTAGAAAAGTTTGTCTTGAGTTTTTCGCGTCTCAAATCGCTTGATGATTATTGATCCAATGATTCTCATGCAAATTTTTTCTAAAACTCCTCTCTCATCTAACTCTCTCTTTCTATCTCATACTAATTGATACAACTATCTCTCCTATCTACCCCACTCTCGCCCTTGTGTAATTCTGTCCATGTATGTCATATCTATATATATATATAGATATCCTAATTGAATTTTCATTCGTTTTATATCTCTCTCCTATCTCTCACACATTTTAAACACACATTCTCAACTCTCATATAACTCTATCTTTCTTCACAAACACACTCTCTCTCTATCCTAAACGTATATAATAATAAAATAATAGGAGTTGGAGAACCTAAATGCATATAACAATAAACTAATAGGAGTTAGAGAGTTTGGCCTAGACGATTATATATATCTAATAATAACAAAATACGTCTAATACTCATTAAAACTCTAATCTCTCTCTCTTTATGTCATACTCTTATCTCTCATAAGTTTATCTCATCTCTTATATAATTCTCTCTTTTTTTTTATATATATACATTTATCAATACACACATGTCAATATCGACTCCTATCCCAAAAAAAAAAAGATATTTTTTAGGTATAATGATTAAATATATAAATTGTGTACATGTTGAAATTTTTTAGAGATCGTGTTTTTAGATAAGTTTTGATTTGATGTTTTCATCTCATTCTCCCTATTTTCTCTCCCACACTCTTTCTCTCCCTATTTTCTCTCACCGTTACTCTCTCTCTCTTTATATCAAAATTACATCAATCAATTACAATTGTATTATATTACACCAAATAATTACTCATGTGATCTGATAAACCAAACAGTTTCATCAAATAATTACACAAAATTACGACTCCAACTCAATTTGTCATTCAGTTGTTTACATAAACCAAAAAGTTATATCATTTAGTATCACGACATGGTTACAACAATTATATGCACTAAATTTAGTGTAATGGTAAACTCTTTTGTGTAATGATAAATTCAATTTGATGTATATAATTGATAAAATAATTGGAACACTATTAATTTTTTTTTTAAAAAAGTTAAGGGGGAATGAGATAAATAGGTCATAATTTTATTACCATTATAGTGTACATTTGATAATTCCTCAAAAGTCAGTGAGAACATACATCTGCCCTTGGCTTCACTCATTTGCACCACAGAAGAGCTCACACAAGCTCTTCTATGTCACACTTACGAGTTTTCTACACCATCAATATATATATTGATTTTGCCATTGACAAAGCAAGAGAGAGAAAGAAAGAGACTAGTAGATGATCTAGGTCCAAGTCTAGTCTAGTTATTTTTGGGGTTGCAAGTTAATTTAAGTAACTTTAAGGATATGGTGGGCATTTAAGTTAAAAAAACTGAGGGTAACATAGAAAGTTTGGCATTTTACTTTAAATGGAGAATGTGGCCATGGACCATGGTACCCATAACCTAACCTAACCCAACCCAACCCTTGAAGGAAGTAAGGGTCACAGAATTGAAGTCAGCGCAAGAGTTGGTCGACCAATGTGGCATTTGACCAGTAGTGCCCGTAATTTGATGCCTTCAATGACATGACAATATCCTGTTGGTCAAAATTCTATATCCTTCATAACCCATTCCCATAGTGAGGAAGGCAAATACAATATTGGTTCCCTGCAAATCATGCAAGAAGAGAATATATTCCGATCCTTTATAGGCAGCTAGAAAACGTGACACTGAGAGCTAGCTGGTGGGATGGCAAAACTAATGAGAGAAGAAGAAAAAAGAAATATGGATCATATCAGGGGGGGAGGTAAATTGAGTGGACTGATCAGCTAATTGAGTGAATTTATATATGTGGCAGTTGGAATCTGATCAATCACTATAAATCAAGGAAGAGAGGTCTTACATGAAGATAAGAGCCTTGTTTGGTAGCCAATGATGACTTGCCTGACTCCTCCATTCAAAGCCCGTCTCAATCAAGACCCTTAATTGCTTGGTTTCAGGCAGTCATCTTGGCTAACTTGACACTCTCTTTTCGATCATGCTAGACCTTCTCTTCTTCCCCTACTAGCACTGGATATCACCTTGTGGATTGGACATGATTTTGCATAGGATACGCAGAAATTAATGTGTTTAATCAAGGTATGTTAGATCTGAGAGTATGGGTCTCTTGTTTGCACATCTCTCTCTCTTTCTAGATCTCCTTGAATAAACTTGCCACTACTTTGAGATCTTGATAGCATGCAAATGAGCCTAGCCAAGAAATAATTTGCTCGAGCTTGGTACGAAATTTAAACGAACTTCAAAGAAAGTTCTAACTTAACTCATTATTATCTATAAATTGATTGTGAACAATTTGTTGTTGAATTGATTATAAACCAAACTCAAGTAACTAAAATTTTTCTATAGTAATAATGCAAATTAGCTTATCAAGGCGATCGAATTGAACCCAAAAAAATTGACAAACTTAATACGCAAGCTTGACTCTTTATCACTTGAGCTGATCATCTTGAACAAATCTTAACACCCCAATCTTGAGTCAAGCTGGATTAATTCAATTTTCTTTTATATACAGTCCTTGGTCTATCTTGGCGGGGAGACCCCATCTATCTTGGAATAAAGACACCCCTTCAAGGGTTTCCTGTTGAATGATCTTGTCATATCGTGATTCATCATCTTTTAGCTAGCTACCCCTTCTGGCTTCTGCAAAGATATAGCAAGACTCATTTAGAATTCTTGCCATGATATTCTCCAAATCTATCTTCATTACACTGCACAACAATACCCTCCTACAAAAGAGAAGCCAAAAAAGAAAGAAGAAAAACATGTTTCAAATTACTTGGATTTTCAGGTCAAAAAATATACTTGATATTCATTGGTTGTGCGATGCCATTCAGACGGGTTGAGATGTTGGTTAGAGCTCATCCTTATCCAAATTATAAATCTCCCAAATCCAGTTTAACCCAAATTCAAATTCCACTCACATCTTTCAATCTTAGTTTGTCCCATGCACTAGATCGCTATTACCTAGGGCTCCCAAATGGAAAAAAAAAAAAAAAAATTGGGGCCCCAATACAAACCTGTGTACAATATTATTAGACTTAATTTTTGGGTTTAATTTGAAAACTTAGGCATTTTGATCATTGAATTAATAATAGAGACAAACATTGAATAAGTTCACTAACAATTANTGCATTTTGATCATTGAATTAATAATAGAAACTAACATTGAATAAGTTCACTAACAATTAAATCACCACAATTTACTAGGTGTCAAAATTAGGTCCCCAGATTAAATACAAGTAATATTCTTAGAGTTTCTTACAAAAATATTTAGGGTCCTAGAATTCGAACTGATTTTTTTTTTAATCTTGCCCAATGTTTATTATATACGAAAAATCACCTAATAATATATTTTTCCACCTTATTATCAAAACTATTTAATTTATTGTGTATCAATTAATAGTTATAAATTATAAGTTTATATTTTATTCAGATTAAATTTTAGGTCACTTCAAATTTATGATTTAATTATTTTTATAAAATGCATAAAATGACTATAAAATGAATTGAATAGAAGTACCTCANATCTTGCCCAATGTTTATTATATACGAAAAATCACCTAATAATATATTTTTCCACCTTATTATCAAAACTATTTAATTTATTGTGTATCAACTAATAGTTATAAATTATAAGTTTATATTTTATTCAAATTAAATTTTAGGTCACTTCAAATTTATGATTTAATTATTTTTATAAAATGCATAAAATGACTATAAAATGAATTGAATAGAAGTACCTCATTATCTGAAATTAATTGTAACCATAGTTGTGTTGCAAAATTTTTTTGTTAAAACATTTTTTTGGATCTCTGCTATATTAAA